TGGATATGACGTATGATTTGTTATTCATTATATTAAGTGTAATTATTCACTCTCTGTGAATTCATTATTCATCATATAATCTGTGCATTGTCGATATTTTGGTTTTGATTAGGTTTGATTGTTCATCATCTGTTATGACATTATTCATTGTGTAGTCTTTTAAGGGTTTTATAAATATGTTGTACGATTTGGGGTTATATTAATTCGTTATTCATCGTATTATGTACAATTATTCACTCTCTGCGAATCTAAAATATTCATTATATAATTTGTGCATTCTGGATATTTTGGTTTTGATTAGGTTTATAAGAAACTAATTATGATTCATCACATTATTATTCATCATATGTTATGATGTTATTCATCATGTAGTCTTTTAATTCTAGAATTCGGTGTGGATTAGATATATGCAAATATGATAGTTATTCATCCTCTATTATCATGTTATTCGTTTAAAGACTGATTTAATGTAATTATGAGAATATTTGTCATTCATCCTATAATTTTTTTTATTAAACATGTTAGTCATCTGATAAATGTCATTCATCTTAGCAATATTGTTATCCATCATGTAATATGCGTTTGTATACGATTGTAAATATATTTCATTAATCTTGTAAAATTATGTTATTCATCATTTCAATATGTGTCATTTATAATGTGAATTTTTCATTCATTATGTAAATTTCTATAATTCATCCTTTGCACATGTGGTATTCATTCTATAAATATGTGTATTCATCCTGAAAGATGTGTTATTCTTCATCAGTGATATTATTATTCGTCATCTAATATGTGTTTGTACACGATTATTATTAACATAATTAGGTTAATATAACTTTGATGGTTTTTTTATCCTTTTAAAATAATTAATTATTTTCATTAACATTGTTATTCATCATGTATTTTGTGTTAATTGCATTTAATTTAAGTAATTTTTTTTTGGATAAAATTGGTTTTTTCCTTGTGATGATTATTCATCGTTCAATATGTACTCTGCAGAAGTTTGGTGTGGATTATCTATATACTATACTAAGACAAAAACCAAAGAGAGAAATCTAAAGTCAAGGAGCACATGCTACATAGGATTTTATCCTATGTGGCATTTTCTTAATTTTTTAGATATAAAAATGCACAAAACAAAACAATAAAAACCAAAAAAAAAAAAAAACTATACTAAGGCAAAAACCAAAGAGAGAAATCTAAAGTCAAGGAGCACATTCTTTATCCTATGTGGCATTTTCTTAATTTTTTAGATATAAAAATACACAAAACAAAACAATAAAAACCAAAAAAAGAAAAAAAAATGCAACTGAGAAAATCCAAACCCTATACTGATTCGACCAAATCCCTACAAATCCGATGGATGGATCTCTTCCTCAAAAAAAAAAAAAACGCAACTGAAAAATAATTTTATATTAATAATTTATTAAAATAATTAAAGAAGTTAGACCAACCTGAAACTTCTATATTAACTTCAAATATGGAATTGGTTTAAAATACTATGGTGATGGGTTGATGTAGCGGGGCTAAAAATGGCTCTCGCAAAGAATAAAATTATTAAAAGGCTTCAATTATGGTTATTCTTTCTTCTTCTTTTTTAATATTTTGAATTCCAAATTTTTAGCTTATCTTTCTTGAACCTAAATGGCAAAATGTACATGCATTAGAAATAAATATACTAATTTATACATGAATCAACTACTACTCGCTAAGTAAGGAGGTCTCAACTTTCGGGATCTCACAAAAATGGTATGAATATGGATAGAAAGCAAAATAGCTGAGAAGCTGTTTGTTTTGTCATGAAGAAACAGAATCAAAAAACGGCTTTGAATACTGACGAAATGGTTCTTCTTGAATGCTGATGAAATCATGATTCTAGCGGTGCTATTTGTTTTGAAATCTAGAATAGTTTGATTATTACCTCTGTTTAGCTAATCTTGGTAATGAATTTCAAGTTCAGGTCGTGCTCATCATTCCATTGAAAATTTGCATAGATTTCTAATGCACACTACATTCCAACAATAGTACAGTGACTGTTGAATTGGTTATATACTTAATTTTTTTTATTCCAGTTTCTGTTCCCTAAAAAAATATTTGTGCTTTTTAATAAGATAAATTTATTTGTCTAATCGTGTGTGGCTGCTAAATGTTTCGTGTTTTCAACAAATATTAAGGGGTCTATGCGGCTAAATATTGGGCTCTTAATTTTTTATTCCTTTTTTTTCCTAAAAAAGAAGTCCATATATATATATATATAATAGTAAAACAAACTCCAGAGAGAGAAAATCTAAGGTATTGTATCATGGCACATATGACTAAATCTTATGTGGCAAATTTATGATTTTTTGAACCAAATTTTAAAATTGTTTTCTTAAAAAATCTAACTTTAATTCGAAAACAAAAATGAACAGGATGGATTTGACATTTGCGAAAGTGTCTAAAAAGATATTAATGAAGAGAAAAATAGGTAAATGATATTCTTTAAGGGTAAAAAAATAGTCCCACCCTCACATTTTATATAAAATATTTCTGACGACGGGTAAGTTAATTAAAGATAAATTATTAGATAGGTAATAAGAAATAACTAAATCAAATGAACAAATGAGGCTAAAAAATAAAAAAATGAAGGAAAGCGAGAATGCATCATATTTAAAAAAAGAAAATAATAAAATAAAAACACTGAAATCAAAAGTCACTCCGAAACAAGGAATAAAGGTCCTGATATCCAAATTTTTTTATTATTTTAATTTTTCTTATATATAAAAAAAAGTTGGATGGCCTCTACAACAAGTTAGGGTTGTTGTTTCTGTAGTAACCATTCCTTATTGTAAACCTTTTCAAAAAAAAAAATCCTTATCATAATTTCTTAACCACCCTAGTCGACCTTTCCACCCCAGACTACCAATGTAGTCTATCAAGAAATATTGCAAGATATATAATTATTTAATTCAAAGTTCATTTTTTTTAATTTCTTAACAATCTTTTTTGCGTTAAATAAATTACCAGTGTATTCATTTAGTAAAGTGTTGTCGATGTTTGTGTTTTATATTTTTTAATGAATTCATTATATATTTTATAAAAATACAAAAACCTATACAAATATTAATTTTTTTTGATTTGTTTGTGTAGTAATATCTATGTATATGTGCTCCCCGTCTATCGGACGGGTCTAACACCTAGTACTATATACTATACCTAAGCTAATGTTAAGTGGATTTGGTTTGATTGTTACCAATCCCTTAAACTATTATTAATTTATCAATATTTTAGTCAAAACAGAGTTTTGATTGAATGTGAAATCTCACTAATTGTAATGTTCTCTTTGTTTGATCAGCGACAAAGAAATGCTCATCAAAATGAATTCGATCGGTCAAGAATTAAATATTTGGCAGAGTTGTTGAAATCAAACAATTAACATAAGTGTATTGAGTATCAGCTAATCCTTTAAGACCTTATACGTTAAAAACAATGATTTTTTTTGTTGAATTTTCATATATACATAGTTAGAAGTTTATTAGCATAGTTTCTGACTTTAACTCATTGTAAAATAACTTTTGTTAGTTTCTTGATCAAAATAATTGATTTTGTTGCACATTATTCATCCACTAACGATATATTATTCATTCATTAAAGTACAATTATTCATCTTGCAAAACTACATCTATTCTGTATTTTAGCATTGTTATTTATCTAGGATGTGATCATTATTTATCAATATTTACATCGTTATTCATTTAAAATTTGAATTTACTCATCCAAAATTTTGTCACTATAAAAACATCATTATTCATTCATAATATTATTATTATTCATCGGAAGAATACATTATTCATCCAAACAAACATTGTTATCTATTAAAATTTTTTAAATTTGATGCTTAATTTTCCGGATTTCATTGCTAAAAAAAATTATTCAAAGAAACGTGTGCTGAAAAATAGGTGCGCATATAACTTAAATTTAAGGGAAAAAAATTAACTTGCGTACAAAGAAAGTATATTACATATACCTATGAGATACACCTTGCAAAGCGTTACGAGGTGCAACTTATTATTTGCCCTGTCGTTTGGGTTGGTTTTGTCATTGAAATCCGGCGGGTCATCAATAAAGATATAAAGGCCACCAAATTACGGGTTAAGAATTATGAAATCATTTTTTGAGAAATAAAAGTTTATTAATTTACAAAAAATCATCTAACAACGATAGATAAGAAAAAGATACAGTCAAGAAAAATAAATTTATGGCTGGTTATTTCTTTTTAATATATATATATATATATATGATTATCGTTGGGTAAAATAAAACGTTACAATCGGTTATAACTAAAATGAAATCGTTGTTTCATCTTAATCTTTCACGTTCTTTTAAATTTGTTTTCTTTCACTAGTGCTCTTTAAGATCAATATAATATGCATACTATATGTATCATATGCCATACGTCACGAATTAATTATCAAATTTTAAAGTTTATACATATTTTTTTAAAAAAATAAATTAACCCCGTTAGACCCCATTTAAAGTTTATTATCAATGAGTGTAAAGTACTAATCACTGTTGTTGATAGCGGACACTCGGTAATATGAAAAAAAAAAAAATTTATTTGGAGCACAAAAAAAAATGTCTGTAGTTGACTTGAATTGGAATTGTCTAGGTGATAAATTTGAGCATTATTCACATACCGTATTTACTTTTAAGGCACAAGTACCCTAATTATTTCGTTGAAGCGCTATTTTACCATCGTCAATACATTTTTTTTATTGAGATACAGGTGAGAGTATCGGTAAAAGTGAACGGAACAATCATAACAACTGTTTATATATTAGAAAATCCATTCAATCAAGAAAATTATGGAATGAAATAGTGAACAATAATGTGTGACAAGGGGGAAAATAAATAGACACACTTATCTTTATCATGTGGTCGTTCATGATCGAAAACCAAAATTTGATCAGGATGTCATTTCATTTTCCTGTCTATATCGGTGATCTTAACATTATTTTTCAGTTGTAAAGGGGTAAAGGATCTATCAAGTTGGAGAGAACCCGCTTCCTATCTTGAACTCCAAATCCATCTCCATGTTGATAAATGAAATGGGCTACTCTTGCCGCATTAGTTAAGTAGTGTTTGATTGGTTCATCCCCAACGACGCAATAGCCATTGATTTTCTCCCATGTCTGTGATATTATGCTTTTGATATGCTCCTTTGCACTCTCTTCCGATACATTCGATTCTCTCATGTGACAAATAATTGATGAGGGAGCGTCTCCTCTATTCAGTTCTTCCTACGAAAAAAAAAGAGGATATATATACATATATACGTTCTTCAATCAATAATAAATTATAAAACGTATTCATACATATGGAGCGTATTTATCAAAATTAATTACCGTGAAAGTTCCTTGATCGTTGCACAAACGAATGATTAAGGACGTATGGTATATTAGGTCCTTATTGTCTTTGAGAATTTCCGAGATTGTTCTTAATGCTGGATTCTGTACTCCAAGAATTATAAGGAGAGAAACTAAAGGGCCGGATGATGATATGAAAGCATTCTCCAAATATTCTTCAAGTGATGGTGTGTAACCAGTATTATCCCACTTCGCTTCCAAAAGTAAGGATTTGCAAAATTCTCCCCACTACAAAAAATTTAAAAAATGTCACGACAAAATTAACGGACATGTATTAAACTGCACTAATAATTATAAATTGATCTTTGAAATATTTTTTTTTAAAAAAAAAAAGAACACACACACGAACGCGCGAACACATGAATTAAGGTTTTTCTTTTCTTAATTAATTCTGCATGGTTTGAAGAACGTACGGCAATTTGGAAATGTGGCAGCACTGAATTCCAACCTTTCTCCTTCTGAATTTCAACAGCTATGTCAGCAGTTGTGTTATACAAAGTCGAAAAGCATACCTGCATACACTCTGGCAGGTCTCTTACTTCTTCATACCTCCACCTAATTGATAAAGGTTTATTAAACTGCAGAAAAATTATTTTGGAACAAATAGTATGTATTAAAGTAAGCTTAAAATTGATTAATAATGGCCTAATTACCGATCCACAGCATTGGTGAAGCACTCTAAGTGTTCCAAGGAACCATAAATGTCATAAACGTCATCAATTAATAATACCAACTTAATAACTTTGGTAAGCCATTTTCTAAGACTCCCATGTTGAGGCTCATACGCCACTCCGGCTGCGTAGAGAAAACTTTCTATTATTCTATCCCTTGAAAAGCTCAACTTTTCAATGATCCCAAGTTCTATCCACCACCTAGACAAAGGGAGATAAAGGAGTTATATATGCCGTTTAATTAAATTTATTGTCTGATAAATTGAAGGATAAATGAGTTTCTTTTTTCCTTTTCTTCTTATTTTTCTCCGTATATTATACTCTCTCTATTCCAAAATGATTGTCCGGTTTGAATTTTAACTTTTAGTAACAATTTGAACTAAAAATAAAAAATCATTCTGGACAATAATTTCGAGACAGAAGGAGTATTGTGTGTTATTCGGGTGATAGCATGTTAAGTGAAAGAATTAAGTAATGACCTTATTATTTCCTTGAGATCTTCCTGGTGTGTGGCTTGAACTATATTAAAATGAAGACGTGCCAACTCTAACAACTTGGAGTTTGTGGTGCCCTCTTTTTCATATGCAAGGATATGTTTCTTGAGATTGTACCATTCGGCTGTCCAATGCAAAGCGAGAATGTTATCCGTTGAATGTGTGTTGATGCAAAATAATCTAGCCTCATTCGTTATATCTTCCCATTCACAGCCCAGGTTCGAGGCTTCATAAAGCTCTTTCACACCTTGCACGTTGAAAGATAAGCTAGGCTTGAAGTCTCCATTTTTATTCACGAATCCTCGAAACATTTCTGAGGACATCAACACAATTGAAACCAACCGATTAATATGTAGACAAGAATGTACAACAAATCCATATATGTATGTATGTATCCTTATTAATTAATCAATTTCATAAAAATGACATGTAATGTTCTCGGGCTAATCCCTAATTACATCATGAGCACCTCCACGTTGTTGTTTTTTTTTTTTTTTTTGCTTTTTGAACATAGTTCGCAATCATATTTGTTATGGAATATATAATTATACATATATGAAAATTTTTACAAATAAAAGGAACACAGAAGGATCACATCCCATTCTTTTTTTTTTCATACTCTCTCTATTTAGGGGTTTATATATATGCATTTAAGGCAAAGGAAATATATTAGATGATTATTGGCACATGACATTTCTTGTAATTTTTCCTTGCATGTATATATCACTGCTCCTACGAAATAATCATAAACATACATGTACCACGAATAATACAAGACGGACCTATATTAATTATTGATACCGATCAAATCTGATTTTGGCCAATTTCCTCGAATAATTAAACTCAAATTGAAAGAAAAATAAACTTACCTTGTGATGCTTCAAACCCAAACTGCCTAAGAAGCCGAAAGCAAAGTGCCGTCGAGTAAAGGTCGACGCCACCATCTCGTCGTGAGTTGACATTCTGTGGAGTCCTCGTAAGAGAACTTAGGTATTGTTTGATTTCTTGCTGGAAGTAACTTGCCAAACCTATTTTCGTTATCGTGTCTACTAAGTAGAGCATGGACCATTTATCATTCACTTCCGTAAACATCCACGTTAATTCCTGTTTTAGCTTTTGGGCTTTTCTTCTATACACTTCGTCCTGCCAAGAAAAATACAGCCTTACTTCATTATTAATTTAGTTAATCCTCTCTCTACTTGTACTATAATTAAATCTTCACGCTTGTTCAAGGTCGATCGATCGACCACTTAAATCCGTTAAATATTAATGACTTGATCAGAATCCGATCAGCATTTTGGACCAGATAAAATGAAAGTATTACGTATTATGAGCAATAGTTTAATAACCGTAAAAGGTAAAAAGAAAGCAAAAAAAGAAGAAGAATAGCTTACAGAGTATACGCTGGTGAGAGATTGTAACAATAAGTCATAGTTCCATATGTTTGGCTTGTAGTTGGCTTTTCGCCTTTGAACACTTTCAATTGATGTCTCCATAATACCCTTCGTTTCCGTTACAGAGCTGGTGAAACTCTTCATTTCTTGACCAGTCATCTTATGATCAATTGGCTTTGAACTAATGTAGCACGTATATAGCTATTCTGGCGTGAGGAAACTCAAATAAATGGTATTATATACAACTTTCTGCTTTCGTGAACTCTAAAGCATTAAACCTTCGGTAGGATGCCATGGAAACATTTTTTAAATTGCGTTGCAATGACAACAAAAACTTCTTAAGCTAGTGGGAAAATGAGATAAGCGTTTATTGAAATTGAAGTGCTCTTCTATCTTAAAATAATTATTTAATTTTTGTTTTTGGTATAACTTGTATTAGAAGTATAATCGCAATATACACAAACAGATGGAAAAAATATTACTCTTTCTGTCCTAAAAAGAAAATCTATATTAAGTTCTTAAATTTATACTAAAACTAATACAAATTACAAAAATTACTTTGCTGGGACAGAATAAGTATTTGATGATGATGACGCTTTGTCCAACTACAATCAATAATTTCTATCCTTCCACCAATAAGCACTTGGTCCAAGTAGTAAAAGTATTGGGCCAACTTTATTATGAACCGGGTTCAAACCCGGGCATAGGCATGCATTAGTGATTAAAATACTTGTTGGGAGAGCTTTGCCTCTCGAAAGAGACCTATCCAGCTCAAATTCGGATTAGTGAAAGTAATAATTCCGGACACCAGGTGCGTAATATATCAAAATAATTTCTATCTTTCCTTTTCAATAATGAAGAGTGGTTGTTAGAAACTTTCGAGGACTGCATGGCGAATGGGAGATACAAGAGGGGGGATATATTTTTGGTTTTTCTTTTTGGCATTTGTGGACAGTATTAATTTTTGGGATAAACTATATTAAACATAAAAATTAAATTGCATAATTATTTTGAAGTAGATATAATTTTTTTGAGCTAAATCCCTCTTTAGGTGAAAGAATCGGGATGAGTTGAATAAAATGATTGTGTAGCTTGAAGTTTCAATTTTAATATAATTGGGATAGAAGGAGCAGTTAGTTTCGCAGTTTGGGATAGATGGAACTCAATCTTAAAAGAGCTTTTTGTTCTAGCATTAACATTACAGACATAATTTTGTTTATGATTTGTAGATCGATAACAACAATAATAACAATATATATACCTGATATATTTGAATTCATGGTTAAACAAAACCCCTTTTGAATTTGATCTGATCTCTTGATTCACGTTTCCTTAATAATTGGATATGACGAGTCCATATCTATCACCGAGATTGGACCGGCCCGCCAAGGGTAGGAAGAGTCCAACTGGGACTCTTAGGGCGGTGTGAACTCCAGAAATCTATTTGGATTCGGGAACATTGCAGGTAATCTCATACCTATAAATAAGGTAGCTCATACCACAATACAGGTACGCAATCTATAGCCGAAAGAACTACCTTCCTAAACTTTCTAGCAACCCTTTTACTGACTTAAGCATCGGAGCGTCTACTCTCGGAAGACCCCGAGACCCTGTTTTGCAGGAAACCCTAACCGGAGTTTTCCTGTTAAACCAGCGGCGCATATCCAAGCATCGTTAGGATATATGATGGGTGAGTAGAGGGGAGAGGAGAGGGGCCAGAGAATAATTAACAATAGTTTATATAAAATATAGTTCTATTGACATCATGGAATTTACTATAGTGATAAATTGTTTCTATTAACCTACTCTATCAATTATTATCCATCAACAGCAATAGTGAAATATCTGAGATAAGTTTTTAATTGGTTAACGGGATATAAATAAAAGATAATTAATATGGTCAAGAAGTCCAATCATAATAATCACCTATAATTTTTAAGAGCTAATGATAGAAAGGTAATAGTGCGCATGGTAGATCATTATGTTAGATGGAAAAATGATTATACGATGAATATTGATTGAGTGAGAAGATCTAGGCCGACGACAATTGTGAGTGTCGTGCATTCGGTTAAGGGAATGAATGATGTTCCAGAACTATTTAATGGTAGCTAGCTTGGTTAAAGCCATTCGGCGGGGATTAAAAAAAAAAAAAAGGAATGGTAGTTGGAGTTGAACCACACATATGACATATCGATAATCGGTAAATTGTTTGACATTCTTAGCAGTTATTAGTCCCCGAATGATTGATGCATGGTGTGATATAAACGATACCTTTTGCTGAGAAGATGAAAGTACTAAAACTTGTAAACTAGCTGGAGCTCAATGGTCTTAACTTGTAGAGAAATTAAATGCACTTCTTTTAACAGAAAGAGCTTACAACATTTTTTTTATATATATAATAATAAATAGTGAACAGTGGAAAAACATAGTCAATGTGCTCATTTACACCCAGACCAGGTAAATTTCTTTGGCAGAAGGCAGAGAGGAGTTTTTTTATGTAGGATTAAACCTGGCGACATCTGAGTATCAATGTCTTGTACTGTCACCCCTGAAGGTAACTCCCAATCAAAAGAGTAGAGAAGGTTGGCAAGGGTGACTTTCACAATTAAGAGTCCTAAATACATTCCAGGACAACCTCTTCTACCAGATCCGAACGGAATTAGCTCAAAATCATTTCCTTTGACATCAACGTCACTGTTTAAAAACCTATCAGGGTTGAATTCTTCTGGATCCTTCCAACTTTCGGGATCTCTGGAAATCGCCCACACATTTATGAGGATCGTACTTTTGGCTTGGATATCATACCCTTGAATGCTACAACTTTTCATAGTTTCTCTCGGCAAAATGACACCAGGAGGATACAATCTGAGCGTTTCTTTGATTGCTGCATCTAAATAAGGAAGTTGTTGAAGTACTTCTTCTCCGATTTCTCCCTTCTCTCCAACTGAATTCCGAATCTCAGCTTGAACTCTCTTCATAATAGTGGGAGCCTTAATCAGGGCCGTCATAGCCCATATAATTACGGCTGAATTCGTGTTTGTTCCGGCAACAAACATGTTCTGCAAATCACGTTAAAAAAAATAAATAAATAAATAAAGGCTAAAATCCACCTGACAATAATTTTGGGACGGAGGGCAAGAAAGAAAGAAATGAAGAATTACCGTGAGTATTGCTTTGACGTGATCCCATGTAAGTTGTAAAGACGAGGACGGGTCGGATTTAATCTGGATCAAGATATCAAGCAAATCACTCTCCGCTGAATCTGGCGGCCGATTTGGGTCGAGGTGTTCCTCAATGAGTTGTTGGTAGAAGGAATCCAAATCCTTGAAATTCTTGTCGAGCAGGGAAGATGTCCCCAGGAGTTTGTCAATCCAACCTAAAGAAGGAAAATAATCCGCCACGAAATAGCCTCCAAGAAAGGCCTCGATTTGATGTAAGTTTTGGTCAAACCTTTTCTTGGTATGACTCTCTTTATCGAACTTTTTCCCATACGCAATTCGACATATAAGCATGTTAGTGAAATTCAACGCCATTGAGCTCAGGTTGATGACGGCGGCTTCTTGATGCGAAATCTCGTTGATGAGGAGGGAAACCTCGTCTTCGAGGATGGGACGAAACGATTGAACCCTTTTGGGACTAAAGATTTGGGACACACAAACCTTTTTTACCTCCCTCCAATACTCGCCGTAGGGCGAGAACGCCAAGTCGAGGCCATTGTAAGATAATTTTTGATTGGAAACTCGGCGGGGCCTTGCAGAAAATGCGAGGTCGTGGGTTTTGAGTGCTTCTTTCGCCGCCTTAGCGGAAGAAATCACAACCACCGGCACATTTCCAAATCGTAATGACACCAGGGGCCCGTATTTGTTGGAAAGATTCCTCAGGGACTCGTGAGGGTTTGCACCATCCAACTGGTGCAAGTTCCCGATCAAAGGTAGCCCTCCAGGGCCTGGTGGTTTACGAGTTTTCTCTACTTTTTTGTGGGTTTTCTTCTTCCGAAGATGAAAGATGAACAAAAGAGGAAGGATCAGTAACGTCATGAGTAGATACCAACATTCTGCCATGTTTCTTTTCTTTTTCTTTTTTTTTTTGTTTTTGATTTTGATACGCTGATAATGAGTTATACTTCCTTGAATGTGTCCTAGTATTTAATACAATTGCATGTACACATATTATTCATTCCCGTAGGTTGTGGTGTTTATTTGGGTAGATTAACGATTTCTACCGCCAGGAAACTGACGGTAACACGCATCATTATCAATTTGTTTTCTTACTTTTCTTATTTTCTTCCCTTCTTCTTCTCCTTCTTCGTTTTTAAATCTTCCCCGTTAACTATCATGTACAGTAATTTTTTAGAATTTTTTTTTTAGGATTATAATACTCTCTCCGCCCCCCTCTCTCTCCCGCCCGAAAAAAACAAATTGTTAATATTGAATTTTAAGATTTATACTGATTTTAGTACAAATTTAAAAAGTGAATGTGATTATTTTTGTTTGGGACGGAGAGGGGACAACTCTTTCTCACAATCCATAGGGACTTCGCAACTTATATAGTGACAAATAATATGCCAATTAAGTTCTTTCTTTACGTCTTCACTATTGCTACTTTCACACTTCATATTGCAGGAATATTCGCATTTATCCGAGGACCTAATTAATCCAGATTGCCCTACGCATCGTGACCATCGCAATTGACCTCTTCCTAGTTCAATTGAGGGGAGGATTTGGACTTTCACCGTTCAACAGATCTGCAAACCCATGCTTCATTTTCGTATAGATCTCATATAAATTCGAAGAAATTGTATTAAAAACAAAGAAGAGATCTTATAAATCGAAAGATTTGCTTGACTTCCATAGTTGATTGAGAGGAAAAAGGTGGGTTTTAGCAAAGAACTTGTGAATCTGTTCGAAGGAGGGAGGGCGGAGAGAGTAAGAAGAATGCATAGGAGAAAAAAAGGAGGGGGGAATTTTTTTTTAATACTAAAAATAAAATAAAAATTTGGGAATATCAAACAGCTCGACGAGCCACAGAGCAAGTTTCGACTGGGTTCGAGTTTGACTCGGATAATTAATAAACTAGACCGAACTCGGTTTGACCTCGGTCAACTCGATCTCAAATCGAGTTTTGACCGACTTCACAAGCGGGTCGATTCGTTTACAATCTTATTATACATATTAATAAAGGTTTAAGGACATATCTACAATGTGAATTGAGTGGATGTGACTTGATAATGTATGACCAAAGCAGGTTATAATTTGCCCCATATTTTTTTACTAATAAATTTTTCTAAACGGACAAGTCACAACTCACAAGCTAAGTATAATTCGTCATTACCTGACTTTTATCCGTTTATAATTTTCCCCTTGCATTAGCTACCTGCCTGAGAAAATTGACAATTCACCAACTATCATTATTGGTTTCACACAGAATTTGTAACTTAAAAGCTTAAAATTTGTGGAAGTTTGTAAGGTAATGTCCATCGGCCATTGACGACAACCAAATTGAGGGGCAAAGAAATGCAAACAAACAATTGATGTCACTCAAAAGGCCAAAATATCTATGATACTATGAATAAGACAATTATAAATTTTAAATCATGCAATTGTACATGTATCATATAGTATCACAAAAGTTTACGAAATCGTTGCCAAAATTGACTAAACTATCATGTGAACTATTTTGTAGAACTCATACATAGACTTTTTTTCTTTTATTAAATAAAAGAAGTAATTATAAGGGTAAGGACCGTAATATATATATCGACTTCCAAACACTTTAACTTAGTTGAGAATATACTTGATATGTTGTTGTAAAAGAAATAATTGATAAATATTCTTCAATTTTGTGAATTTGCATTTTAGTGAAATGTCACGCAAATAGAATTGAGACTAACTTGAAACGGAAATCAAAATGGATATCGATTAAGTGTTACAAATACGTTTACTGATAATAACAAGATTTCGGGTACAAACACTAGGCTATAGATTATCTTTAAATTATTTAGTCAATTATTTCATTAGAGAGATATCTACAATTTAATAAAAAAAATTAATCACAATTACAGACAGTGGATCGGACACTACAAAAACATTTGTATGAAACAGATGTCGTACCAAATTCGTTCTATAGAAACCATTGTCCACGATAGTTATCTATATTTGATGGCGATGTTAATTAAAATAAAAATAAAAATAAAAATTGCACGATGAAACAGACGTCGGACCAAATTCACTTTACAGGAACAATTGTCTACTATATATATATATATATATAGATATATATATTCGTCTTTGTATTGAGGATGTCAAAACGACAATCTAAAAATAATTAAATAACGCATTTGCACTTAACTCCACGTGAAGTGTTAAATTAGCTAATTAAATTTGGTGTCGATCCACTTGCTAGTAGGAGTAGTATATATTTGGGATTTTGGTTGGGATCAATTATTTGATCGAAAATGATGGAATGTGTACAATGTTGTCCGACCGGATCAGAAATCAAACCGGTAAAGTTACTGTGCCGCTAATCGGATCAGGAAGTCGTTTAAAAGATACTTCCTGGCCAGAGATTTCATATTTGGGCCTCTCATAATTTATGTTTATTGTCTTTTCCCCGGCGCATTTCCCTTTTCATCTCTGATCCTCTAGTCATTGTTAGGTGTATTATAACCATGGGAGCCTCACATCATTTGTGTGCGTTGAAGGAATTGAGCAAAAACATATGAATTGAGCAAAAGCACATTAAAACTTCTAGACTTTAAGGGAAATTTATGAAAAATGTACCATGAATGTCAGGTGTGGGGCCAACATCTATTCATGGATCTAAAAATTTTCCTTTGTGGCTGACTGGACCTTCCTTTTTTTCTTAAATTTACCATTAATTTCTTCAACACTGTTCACACATAAAATAATTTCCGAGTAATAAATAGACAACAGTTCAAACCCTAGTACTTAAAAGACAAAGTTCATGTATGTGGGAAAGTTGTTTCAAATTTCAAGCAACAAAATCTACTTCTCATTGAAGATTTTCTCATGCGTGTTGTAATTGATCAAAATTCTTTTAATCTTGATGTCGCTCAAAGTACAAAGAAATATATTCTTTGTTTTTAAGAAGCCGCGGGACTAAGATTTGGACTCCATCTATGCAATACTAGCTAAAGATGAGAGTATTTGGTTCAAGCTTGGGAGCAAAGAGATTGTGAGGATAATTAATTTTCTATAGTATTTAATTAAAGCAGCAAACAAAAAGGACATGTGTCAGCACCACAATGAAAATTTTCCCGCCAAAAGTTATTTTCAGTACAAAATCATTTTTGACACGTGGCACTCTAACTAATCAGAAAAAAAAAAGATAGAATAAATAAATACATAAATCCCTTAATTATAGCTACATAAAAATATCTTAATTATAGGTATATACTAATCCTTTAAAATAACAATATTTAGTTGATAAAATCAAATATAAGGAAATCCCCTTAAATCAAGTGAAACACTAGTAATGTCTTCCCAATCCCCAATTTCAAAGAATATATTCCATTTCGCTCCTCTCTCACACCCGGGCCTTTAAATCAATTACTTAAAATCTGACATCAATTATCAATCCATCTCTTTCTACAACAGAGAAAAAATAAGTTGTCATGAAAGAAATTTAATTTTTTAAGGATGATTTTTTTTTATTCTTCTGTTGTAGATATTGGTTTATGATTTATGTAAACCCGGGCATAAGTTAACTGGTATAAATTAAATATTGTAAATCTGGGCATAAATTTATGTGTAATAGCTCACTTTATATCTTTTCAATCGATTTTTTATTCTTTTATTTTTTTATTCTTTTAAGAATAATTAGTATTTTTTATTTAATCAATTTAAAAATACAAGCGACACTCCAGGCATTCGCCCGGGGCAAGCATCTAGTTTCTAATTTATTTTCGAATTCATTGAGCAACTGGTATGTTAGTAAAATCTTGAGGTAAAATCATTATTGGGATTTGAACTCATCCCTTGAAAGATTTTACTACAAAAATTAAAGACTCCTCAATTTCAATTGAAATTGGGGACAACAGTGAGTATAATTGAAACAAACAATATCAGATAATGAAAACAAGTGTACGAAAGGAACAATTCTGTTAAATTGTAGCAGAGTAAAAGGGTGGGAACGAGCTGGAGCTTGAGAGTTGTGAGTAGTTAAGGATAGTTTAGGAAACAGGGAGAAAAATTTATTTTGGAGCTAATAATATTATTGCCTACGTGCTCTGACTGTATTCATGTGCAATTATGTACATGTGATCCATGACATGTTTATTACAATAAAAACACGGCATCATGCGTATATTAAACGTACTACATTACACATCATTTGCATATACTCCCTCCATTCCAAAATAAGTGTGGTTTTAGTAAAATGGAGAAATTCCAAAATAAGTATCGTTTTCAGATTCCAATGTATATTTTGTCAAAAATTTCAAAACATGCCCTCAAAAAAAATAATATTATTGATGAATATTTATTTTAATGGGGTTGGTTGAAGATATTTTAATAATTTAGTTACCTTATTTAATGTTTTCTTAAATTATGTACAAACTCTAGAATGACACTTATTTTGAAACGGAGGGAGTGTCATCCTAGCGATATAAAGAACTAATTAGGTGCCTGGTTCGCCCAATGTATGATTCTTGGAAATGGGTTTCATTTCTTAAGGACGGGAAAGATTGTGAAAACTCTATTTTAATTAATTTTTAACTACTTGATTTATATGTGTATTAAAATGGAAATTAATTCAAAATTCCACTTTTATCCTACTTGCTCTGCACTTGCTGCTACTTCCACCACCGCTGCCACCCTTGTCCACCACCTCCTTTGATTTTGAGAATCAAAATTTATGGGCCTAAACTGACTTATTGAACCCAACAAATTATCAATTTCCCATGTCTCCAAACTCAGAAGTTGAAATACAAAATAAAAGCACAATTAAAGTTGAGAAATATGCAAACGATTGAACACAATTCACATCCCGTCGGCATATTCTTGATATAGAAGCCAAGAATGTCCTTACTCAAACCGAAAGACATATAGCTAGTCCAACGATTATCAAGCGGCATCGATTGATGTATTCAGGTAGCGTCGGAAGTTGAAGCTCCAGATCTCATCGATTTAGAAGCTCCAAATCACATCGAGTCAGATGAGAAGATTAAGGCCGCAAGCTGATAATAATTACGAATAGCTATATAGGATGAAACAAAGAAAAATTTCCTGTTTGTTTGTCCATGGAAGCCCAAATTCTTACTCGTTAATTGAAAATTAGAGAACTTTGGAGTGGTTTGGTGATGGTGGAGAACCGGAGGGAGGGATAATGTTGATGGTGGACGTGATGACAATCGGGACAAAGAAGAAAATAAGGAGGGTAAATGAGGAAAAAGGGTGCGTTGGCTTATGTCTTTCAAACCCACCAACTTAATTGGGTATGTAAAAAACCTTCCTTTTGGGAATGAAATCCATTATTTGTGGGCCAGCTTCTCTAACCAAGAACTGAATTGATTCCCCCCAACCAGGCACCTCTATTTTTAAAAATGAAAGAAGTTAAATTAGTTATTGAATAGTGACTGGTGAGCTATTTATGTCGTCCATGCTAAAAATGTCACAATTAACGCTATTTAGCCAAAAATATAGGACACTAATCAAATTAAATTTGAATTAATTGGGGTAGGGGCTAAAGTTGGATGTACGCAGTAAAACGAAACTTGAAAGCCGTTTACTAATACTTTATTATTATCAATAGGATTAGGAGATGTAGTTAGTGAAATTCTCTTGTTATTTAATTTATTTTGAATTTAGACTTTTGCCTCCTTTATTGTGCAAAAAAAAGGATTAGGAGAATTTTTTTTGCAAAAAAAAAATGACTTATTAATAATATAAGGACCAGAGGAGTTTTTTTATAAAAAAAATAGGAAAAAAAAAAAGGATACATTTGATTATGTGATGAATATTAGGAGCAAGTGGGGATGAGCCGTAAAGGATAAGCTCTCTGTAAGGTAATACCAAACTTCTCCTCCATGTTCAAGTCTTCAGGTTTATTGTCGCCCTCAAGTTTCCAGTCAAACATATTGAGAAGCGAACCAAGCACAAGGGGTAACGTCCTTAGTACCAATGACATTCCGGGACAAATCCTTCGACCCGCACCGAAAGGGATGAGCTCGAAATCTTGACCGCGCAAATCTACTTGAGATTCCCCGAACCTTTCAGGCTTAAACACCAAAGCGTCCTCTCCCCAAATCATTTCATCCCGACCAATGGCCCAAACATTCACTAAAGCTCGCGATCCTACGGCGACATTGTACCCAAACACCTCAACCTGATCCCCGACGGCGCCGGATTCCACTTTGTGGATCAACAACGGAACCGGTGGATGTAACCTTAAGGTTTCTTTGACTATGCATTGCAAGTAAGGCAAGTTAGTCAAATCAGATTCCTCAACTTGCTTCCCTCTTCCAATGGTTTTGGCAAGTTCTGATTGGACTTTCTTTAAGATGCTCGGATTTTTTATCATCTCCGACATTGCCCACTCTAATGTATTTGAAGTCGTATCCGTCCCAGCAACAAAAAGGTCCTACAAATCAATAAGTATAAACAAATAAAACTACAAAAAGTCCCAATTTTGGACATCCATCAAAATTTAAACAGTGTTATAAATGGAAATTTAAAGATAGCATGTTCGGACTTTCCAAAAAAATAAATAAATAAATAAAAACTACGTACCAAGAAGACATGCTCGATTAAATTTCTGTCCATCTCCTCTGGAGATTCTTTACCCAGAGTCAGCAGGTTATCCAGCACATCGTCTCTTCCACCCGATTCCTCTCTTAACCTTGCACTGATGAGACCTTTGAACATGTCAAAGATCTTGCCGAAATGATCACTCATACGACCCCGCATACCCTGCGGATCAATCTTCTTGAGGGCGGGGAAGAAATCGACCACGTTAGGCCTACTGGCTTCCACCATGACATCCCATATCACGTTTTTCATCTCTTTAGCCGAATCCGTGAAAGGGTCGGTCAAATCCTCGGAAAACAAGATGGTGGACAGCAAGTTGAGGGAAGTCCGGAAGGCAGCTTGGCCAATATCTATTGCTTCCCCGCGTTGGCGACTCCTTTCGCAGTAGTCCATCAGTTCCTCCACCTTTCTGGATCTTACGCCGTGGTTGGCGTCGAGCCGATTAGCTGAGAAGATGTAAGAGTTTAGTATCCTACGAAGACTTCTCCAGCGGCTTCCCACCGGCAGCCATACCACTGAATACTGCGAATGATCTCGCGCATGGATGGCATCCGGAACTGATCGCCCGCAGAATTCCACGTCGTGGTTCTTGAGGATTAGTTTTGCGGTGTTTGAGGAAGATATCACCACCGTGGTTACCTGCCCGAGCTTTATACTCATAAGGGGACCATAAGTTTTTGCGAGCTTTGCTAGGGATTGGTGGGGCTGCTTCCCTAGTAGATGGAGGTTTCCAATGATCGGCCATGGTAGAGGTCCCGGAGGATGCTTTTTACCTCTTCTTCCTGATGATAACACGGTATTCCGTACATCATCGCTCATGCAGATCAAACTTAGAGTAAAAAGGACTAGAAACAAAACAAGGATTAGAATCATGATGAGATATTTTAATTAACTTTTAGGAATCTAGCTTAGCTGCTACCAGCTGGATGCTTTCTAATTAATCACCCCTTTTAAATGCTTCTGCTATTTATACTACTACAGGTTTAGTCAAGGAACTCAATTCAACCCTCTCATTCGCATTGTTTTTTAATTAACTTCTTTTTTTTTCTTCTTCTTCTTTTTTTTTTTTTTTTTTTTTTTTGTTTGTTTGTTGTTTGTTGTTTTTGACGGATCGCGTGATATTCTAGTAAGATTAGTGAGTTATGATATTATTTTTCAGATTTTATTATTTTAGATTACTCTAGATTTTATGAGAGTTACATCTACATAGATCATTTGATTATGATTGTACATCTTTACACAAGTAGAGTCTTTGTAATTGTAATTTGAGGGCAACGAACCTCACAATTTCATCTTCATTTGCTAACTCGTTTCTCTTCATTGTATCATGAGCAAGCTCGATCCTAATTTTTTTCCCTTTACTTTCTCAGTCCCACTTCTGCACAACATTACCTCGCACCCATATTCTCACATAAACTACCAGAAATTACATACATTCATTTTTCATCATCGGCTCAAAATTTTCTTTCAACATGACAATCTCACAAACACCAAGTACATAATCCTTATCAACTATCACCACCACTAAATCTTATCATATGTCCAATATTACAAATTTTATCACGTTATCTCTTTATGGATATATTCTCCGTCCAAAATCATAAATTTTATCACGTTTCCCTGTATGGGTATATCAGTAGTTCAATTTAACCACCAAAAAGTTGTTCGTTTGAATATGGCTCTTCTACTGAATTGACTCCTGTTGTCAAGAGCTGCCCTCACTATCTCCATCAATGGCTTGTGGCCCTCGGTTGTCCTAATGCGCGTGAACTTTGGATCAAACTTAAAGGGGAAATATTAGGGTTGGCCCTTTGGATCATCTGGGGATCTTTTTATTAAACATTGCGCCGAAAACACTTGTCCAAGTCGAATTAGTCCAGCAGCCCGCCTGAATTTTTACAACCTAGTCCTACGGAATTCTTCTGGGCCCAAAATAGCTTTATGTTACTGGATTTGAAATTTCAATCCTACGAGTCTTTGGCTCCGCAGGTTTTTCCAATCTTCACTTGCAGCTTTGCAGTAATTTTTTATTCTTCATTTAAGTCCTATTTAGAACAATTAAAGTAATTCCAAGTTCCAATCTCTTCGTTCCTGCAAAACATGTACTTTATTAAATGATTCATCCTTAAAATGCATACTACCTTTGTCCAAAAAAAATATTAAAAAAAGATAGTTTACATCGAGTTGTTATGTTTGTACTAGTTTGTATCCCCTCAGGTTTGTTTGCCATGCAATTATGTGAGTATGGCATAGCTTTTATTCTTCTTGTTCCCTTTGTTGGTTCTTTTTAAGGATGATGAGCTTCTCTCTTTGTTTCAAATCTCATGCTTGGAATCACATATTCATAAGCTCGTCTTAATTAAGAACTTAATATATTCCTGTTTCATTACTTTTTTCTTGTGTTCATCAAAAAGACATCTTTACTTTCAACATTTTATTTACATGTTTATATGCATGGAATAAGTGTTGCAGTACATCAAACTCATAATACTGTTGACATTGATCAATCTTGGACCAAAGAAAATCAGACTTTTATATAAAAGATGGGACAAATATTCGATCCTATGAAACAGAACAAGTACTATTTATACTACTACAAAGGTTGATGGTGTGGAAGCATTTTCCTAGGGAGCATGAGAATGTGACCCAACAATTCTCCATCTTCTCCAGATTTGTGATCGCAGCCGTTTATCCCACAAGCTGATTTATAGCCAATGAAGAGTGCAACGAGGAACAAAATGGCGGTCTTAAAAAAGGTGACAAATTCTGTGATCCACCCAACAAACCGTTCCAGGAACGTGAAGTACTGGAGCACATTAGCCACACCTCTAGCGAGCCACCGCGTCGACCTAACACGTTTCGCCTGGTTGAACTTGGTGTTCACGGACTCGATGGTCTTGTCCACACTGGAATTGTTCTCGACACATTGCCTGATTCCATTCCAGGCGTTGAGGATCTCGGTATCCGTTAGTCCCGGTTCTTTTTCGAATATCTCTGCTTCCCTTAGCAGCATCACATCTCTCTTGGATTTAATGAGTCCGCACATGATGTTAACGAAGTCCCTCAACGGGGTTGACTCCAGCTGCTTGGACATTGCTGCTTCGTGGGCGATCAGATTCCTGAATATGGTCTCTGAGTTGGGGCCCATCTTGAGTTTTGGAAGATAAAATACATTATCGTAATATTGACCTTTCTTTTGTTCAACATTCAGGATGCCATAGTCTTCGTAGAGGAACTTGTATCTCATGTTCAGAATTCCGAACAGTCTGGAGGCAGAAGGGATATCGTAATTCGCATTGGCTGATTTTTCTTTCCATAAAGCAGACTTGAATTCATCGGCTACGAACCGAAGAGTCTCCCAGCTCCGTTGACAAACAATCTTTACAGTTCTCGGGATGACAAAATCCCACCTGTGTATATATCCATAGATTGTCATCTCGAACCCGTGATTCCGGTAATATTCCTCCGGGGTCTTGTAATTTGCCACAATCATCCGGTACATGAAATCAAGGATGTGGCTACTCCCTTCCAGCATCGACTTCACTATCGATTTCGCGAGGGCTGGGTCTTCAGGGATCCCTGCCAATTGGAGCGGCGAATGATTGGAGCAGATATCATAGAAGTTTTTAAACACTTTCTCGGGGGCATTAGTAGGATAACAGGAGATGGAGATTTGGTTCCCGAGTGCGCGAATGATGGAGAACGGGATTTGGTTCTCCAGCATAAACACATCAGGAACCAATTTCTCGACGTGCAGATACAGGTTGCTCCATTCCGATGGCGAGTTATAGACGTGGATGAAGTAGAGCAAGAAAATGGAATCAACGATCAAGATCCACGACAACACGGTCGCGTCCAAGTCGAGATAGCGATCATAACACGAACGACAGGTGGGTTCAAAATCGTTGGAGATGGTGTGGATTAGATCTTCGAAATTCTGCAATCCTGCCAGAGACAGCTCCACGGCATCACGCTTTTTGGTGGTCATGAACTGGACTTCGGGGCGGAAATGGTGATGCGGACCCAACCCGACAAATTGAGGAATGTAGGACTCGGGTTTGGTCTCCTTAAGTCCAGGAGGAAGCTGGAAAACGCAGGGCCGGATCTCACCCTTATTCAAGTAACTGTACTCCATATGTTGTAGCCAACGTTGTTGGCTCTCGCTGGACGGAAAGATTGAAGAACCCATTGTGTTCTTCACTTCTGATTTTGTTTCTAAATTTACTACCACTACTTTCTTTCTATTGTTGAGGATGTGTACTTCCAGTGTCGATTGCTGGTATCTTATTTATGCAGCATTTAATTGAGATCTGGGCGGTGATAGAAACTTTTACTGTAATTATTTTATTTATGTTAAAACATTGACGAATAAGAGGAAAAACGATCCCCCAAAACAAATAAATAATTTTAGACCATGCTTGGGTTTTGTTTAATATTATTTTGGCGGGCTACCATTGCTATCTGGGGCCTGTCGACGTGGTGATTTCCAGCGAAGAACAACCAGAGTTTTATTATTTATTAAGGAATAGAAATGACCCAATTATGAAAGGCAAAAACAGAAATGATCTATCATTTGAGCATCTCTCTGTCTCAAAATGTTATTTATATTTATTACAGCATTTGAATATAATAACAAGAATAATCATTTTCAGCTATAAATTATTTCATACTATAAATGTAAAATTTGCATTAATAATTAATAATTTTCATAAATAAATTTTTAAGGTTTTTTTTTTGGATAAACTCTTAAGGGTTCTAATTGCGCGAACATGAAAATCAAAATTCTGCCTAAGCGTAATAATAAATTTCTCCCTTCGGTTTTTAGTTTTTCTTTTGTAACGTGCATCCTTTGTTGGGAAGCAATTCTCTGGTTCTTTGTTTCTTAGGGATGGTTGTTAGAAAATGTTAGTTTATACTTTATACTGAAAAAAAAAAGGATGGGATGGTTGTTAGAAAATGTTAGTTTATAGTGTAAAAAAATTAAAAAATACAAAAAAAGGTGAAAAAGACATAAAGAAAACTTATAACAATCTTTTATATAGGTAGTTGTTCTCTGTAATGACACTCCACGTGATGACGTTAACTATCTGAAAATAAATGTCCAAAAAAAAAAGTTTTAAAAAATGTAAATATCGGCGGGCTTGAAATAGGTCTAGAAAGTCATCAGATGCAATAATCAATCATTTTTTTTTAATCACAAAAGTACCAAAATTACTTTACGCATTGATCAGTTTAATTAGGCATCATTTGCTTGAACACTGTTTGCATTAATCGTAATCTCTATGTGTGATTTCAATAAAATTACAGTTTGCATCTGAACAAAATTTCTTCATTTAACTTTGATTATATCTCAAAATTATCCTCTTCTACGAGAAGGCTTGCAGATTAGTGCCGCCTTCAAATTTTCGGCGAAAGAAGAATTCAGAAGTGAAACAATTAAGTATTATATAAAAAAGATAGACCTTAGTACCAACCAATGACATTTGTTTTGGAAAATGACATAAATAGCTGAAGTCTGAAGATACCTTGATATTTGGCCAGTAACTACAAACTATTGCAAATATATATGACCCCTAAAAAAGGATCGCAGACAATTATAAATGTGCAATGTACATATACAGTTATGCACACGCGCGCACACACTTAAAGAGGTTGCTTGCGGTGAATTTGGATGGGTAGACCTCGATTGAAAACGGGCATAGGATCTCTATAGAACGAATCATCTTCACAAGAAAGTTGCCATCTGAATCTAGTCACTAGATAATGAATCATGGCCAGCGTTTCAATTCTTGCTAATTCATTTCCAGGGCATCTTCTTGCTCCTGCTCCGAATGCCACAAAACTATAAGGCGGAATATTGGTACTATTATTTGTGGCTTGTTGTTCGAATCTCCTAGGCATGAACTTCAATGGATCTGGAAATATAGCTTCATCCTTGTGCGTCATGCTTGCATTCCAAACCACCTACAAGATCATTTACATTTTAATTAGTTCAATAAACTGGTGAATTTCAAGTCATTGAAGAATTTAGACATAGGAATTGGATTGGAACATGACTTCGTCAAGTTTTTCTATCCACGAAACATGATTGTTTAATGTTTTGGTATTTTAGATTTTGGTCTTCTTCATTGTACCAAAAAACAAATGGTGAATGTCAAGAAATCGCTGCCCGAATTTTGGTCCTTGATCGAAAATAGAAAACCTTTCACAAAGTATAAAATGCGAAAAAAGAGGGTGTTTAGGTATTACTTACTTGCCAACCCTTCGGGATAAGGAAACCTCCGAACTCAATCTCTTTGAGTGTTCTTCTGAAGGAATAAGTCATAGGTGGATGCATCCTTAACATTTCCATCGCTACTCTCCAAGTGAACTTCATGTTTGAAAGATCTTCCCATGTTAGATGCTCCCCAAGTTTCTTACTCTTTGCAATCTCATTTTGCTCTGTAAATACCATCAAAACTCTCATTTATATTCATGTTCAATTAATCGTTGTTGAACATTCCCCTGTTACCTTTCAGAAATCCTCAACTGATGTCCAAAACTTAATCTTTCGAGGTTCAAATTTGATCGCTTATGCACATTGTGCATTCCACATACTTATAATTAACAAAGTCAATCATAGTTCTAGATTTACATAGAGCTATAAGCAATGGAGTAAGAATTATTACCATGAGCGATGGCAGTATAGATGGATGGATCTCTGGCCAAAAGCCTGACCAAAAATGTTAGAAGAATCGAAGTAGTGTCATGTGCACCAATCATAATAACAAATGCATTATCCACGATTTCCTCATCTGAAATAACACTTTGATTTTGACCATCCCTTATGCTCAACAGGGCAGTAATAAGGTCATTGTGAGAAGAAATGGAATTTTTCCCCAACGCTTCCCTTTTCTCTTTGATCAATTCAATGAGAATGGCTTTCACTTTTTTGCTTGCTTGGAGGCTGCTGTGAAATCGAGTGAAAGGCAAGTTTATTGGGAGTGAAAGCATTCCTTCCATCACTTTCTCAAATAGCCTTACTAAAATGTCTCTTCTTACCCCTGGCTCAATCCCAAATATGAGTGTGCATACCACATTGAAGGTTAGTGTCTTCATCAGTGGCATCACCTGCATAATATATTCATTTTCAAAGTTGTAATTATTTTGATACTATTTTCAGTACTTTTCAATAGTCTACTTTATTGAAATAAAAAATGGGACGGCATTCTAGATCATTACTCACAATGCACATGTAGGACCTTCAAAAAAATTACAAAAGACAAACTATTGTCTCTTTGTGTGAGTTTGACTTACCACAACATTGCTTTGGTCATTCCAAAATTGGTTGAGATGAAGTTGAATCTCCTCATCCACCTTACCAACATATTGCTTCAATGCATCTGGCTTCAAGAAAGAAACAAGCGCTTCCCTAACTCTCTTATGATCATCACCAGTCAATTCAAAAATGTTCTTTTCACCACAGATTCTCCTAATTGAAGTTGGTTGATGACTTCCCAAAGTGTTGCCATCCCTTGTGTACATGAACTTATTCGCAGCCAAGCCACTAAGAAAAATTGTTGGAGTACCGAAAAGACTCATTCTTGAAATTGGCCCATACTTTTTTATCCTTTCATTTAGCCATTCTTCATCTTTATTTGCTCTCATAGCTTCCAAAAGAGTTGGAGTGTGGCCTATTATGGGGAATCCCATTGAACCTGGTGGGAGTCTTTTCTTGGATGATCCTTTCGTTAGAAAAAGGAAAAGAGACGAAATTAAAATTAGAATCACAATTAAGAGTGATGATGATTCCATGGTTTGATGAGAGTAAGAAATTATCAAAAGGGAAAGTGGGATTAGGCCAGGTTAATTTCCTGTTGGGAACTAAAGGTATCAAGTCATCAATGCTATATGTATTGTGCTTCATTGAATTGAAAATTCCGCCGTTCTGTCGCCTCTTTCTTGGCATTTTTTTCATTTTTTACTTTCCCATAGGGCATATGGAGTTTTCAATCGAATACAATATAACACATTGAACCCATTTTCTTCCTTAGTTTAGTGTTGTTTTTTCTGTTTAGAAATGATTGTTTTATTTGTTATAGGAAAGTTATTTTAATAAAATTGTAAAACCTTTGGGTCAAAGACGGAGAGAATCGAAAAGAAAGGAATCAACGTTACCCAGATGCTAAAGATTGATCAAACTAAGTTCCAAACCAAAACTAATAAGATGATTTGCATTTCCAACCAAAAAAAAAAAATACTTATTATGTCTCAAAATTATTATTCAGTTTAAAATTTCATTTTTAGTAAAATTTAAATTAAAAATGAAACTTAAACTGGACAATAATTATGGGACAGAGAGAGTAGAGTGATTTACTCTCTATATTGCTATTTGTTACCAATTTTGTCAACTTTGATCATTCTCAAGGTATCCTTCCTGAAAATATCCGAAAGATCTACACGAGATTTCCAAAACTCAATTGTGTAAAATCAGACTGTAAATAATTTACTTTCTCATTATCACATTTCTCGTGTTAATAAACAATTCTTATTATTACGACGTCTTCGTCTTCAAGAATTACGTTTACTGTTGAAAACGAAAATCAATAGGCTTTGAAACTCTTGAACGGATGAGCTTCAATTTGCTGTATTTTTATTTTGATTAACTCATCTACCCCTCGAGGTCGAGGGTAATTTATCGAGAAATTGTTCAAATTTTTGTCACGAATTTTTTATTTATTTACTTTATTTAGACAATTCTTACAACGAATTTTCTGATATATCAAATGGAGGAATGGAAAATAATAATAATAATAATAATAATAATAATAAGTAAAAAATGGAGGAAATTTCTTCCAAAGCTTCCAACACGTGTCAACCCGTGCCACGTGCCAGTAGCCTCCTTCCCAAAGCCAAAGAAAACCCTCACAGAACCTGCCGCCAAATTCTTCTGCAATTTTTGAACAATGCTTCTTCTTCATCATCCATGGCGTTCTTCCGATCACTTCTCAAGACTTTAGCCTCCCAATCCACCAAATCCACCCGGCGGAACTCTAATTCTTCTCCCGATTTTCGAACATTCTTCTCCCTCTCCTCCGCCACCGCCCAACCATTCGCTAATCGCAGCCCTGCAATCGTCAGAGACCCCATTTTTTCCCTTCACCGACACTATTTTCTTCGAAGAAATTTTCTTTCCCCTCTATCCCTATCTTCTCCCCTATGGAAACTCTCTCAGTACGCGACGCCGGTTCACCTCCAATCCGACATCGTTTTGCTCAGGCTTCCAACAGTTCGGGATTCCCTCCGGCTACCGTACAGATTAGGGTTTCAGCTGGCCCCGGAGAAAGTGTTGGAGGAGGAGAGAAAGAAAGAGGATAGGGAGCTGACCAAGTCCCACCATATTAATGATTCTGATGCGGCTGATTCAGTCGCGGATGTGACTCGTAGTTATCTGAATCTTCCCAATTTTATTTCTTTTGGCAGATTACTCTCCGGCCCGTTGCTAGGATGGTACATTTTCCAATCTTCTTTTTTTTTTCCTTTTTCTTTATCACAAAATGCTGAAGGTTTTTTATTTTATTTTTTTGTTTAATGACATGTAATAATTGATAAAAATGCGGAGGTAAGGCCAAAAGATTCTTCTGAACTTAGAATTGAGATCAGAAAATATATATTTCAACAAAATGTAGAACAGAATTGAAATGATGAAGTATTGAATTTTATCTGTGGACGATGGATAATGGCCGCCATGCTCCTCTTGCAGGATGATCACACAAGAAATGTATGTCCCTGCATTTGTTGGTCTCGGTATCTCTGGGGCGACTGATTGGGTATGGAGGAGTTTCTTTTTCTTCTTTTTTTTTTTGAATTTTGTGCTTTTATCTCTTTCCTCTGTTTTGCTCTGATTGTTTGGTGCAAGGGGATAGTAGGACTTTTTAAAATATCTCCAATTTCACTTTGTAGCTAGATGGTTATTTGGCAAGGAAGATGAAGATCAATTCTGTGGTTGGTTCGTACCTTGATCCCCTGGCTGACAAGGTAATTATCCTGTTGTTCAGTACTGTGAATCACATTAGGAGCTCATATGCATGTGTCTTGGTTAGTTTACTTTATTTATAGCTTGTTGCGGGTGTGCACCACAGGTACTGATTGGATGTGTTGCTTTGGGCATGGTGGATAGAGGGCTTCTGCATCGTAAGTGCATAATGTTGTTTGTGTACATTGGTATTGCTAAAGGCATCAACCTTTGTGCAATTAGTCTACATGATAATGTATGGAACACCTGTTTCTTTTGAAACACCTAATGTTGATGTCAAGTTGTCAACTATGTATGTCATCAACCAGATAATTGCGTTCCACGTATTACAGTTCTTCCTTTCTCTGTTATGTTAGAGTTTCTTGGAATTGATATAAAAAGTAGAATTATAGGTTGAAAATTCCTACACTCTATGTCATCAACCAGGTAATTGCCTTCCATGTATTACAGTTCTTCCTTTCTCTGTTATGTTATAGTTTCTTGGAGTTGATATAAAAAGTAGAACTCTAGGTTGAAAATTCCTTGGAGGAATTATGATTACACATACCCCCAGGCAAGTCTGGCTTTCATCTGCTACTGTTAATAGAAATTTAACTTGCTAGACTGAAGTTTTGACCGACATCAACCTCTAGATAATTTCCTTTTATGTTTTTGATATTTGCAGCTGGACTTGTTGCACTTGTTGTGCTGCGAGATGTTGCCCTTATTGGTGGTGCTGTGTATAAGAGAGCTAGCAGTTTGGAGTGGCAGGTTAGCATGATTAGCTAACTGTATGCCTTTTCAAAAATTCCTTATCTTTTTCATTCTTGTTCCTGGCTCATAAGTTAAATTCTCTAACAGTGGAAGAGTTGGTCTGATTTCTTCAACCTTGATGGTGCAAAACCTGAGAAAGTTGAACCTCTCTTCATCAGCAAGGTATGGTTTATGACTTCATATCATCTGGACTGTGAAATGGTGCCACATTTGATGATTTGTTGACCATGGGGAGAATTAAAACCAGGAATCTCTCTTGGCATAACGATGGACTCTTTTTTTTCTTTTTTTTTTTAATTCCTATATTGTGGATGACAGATAATTTTATTTTGGGAGGATGTTGCATAGATAAGTTACTTGTTTTGGTTAATAATTAGTTTCTTGCTAAAAGTTTGACCAAAAATTGGAAGGGATATTCAAATTGGAACTGTAAAGCTGACTTCATGTAGCCAAAAATGGATAGAGCATCTTGATTCACTCCTGAACTATCCTTTACCTTGACAGGTTAACACAGTCCTCCAGTTGGTGTTAGTAGCTGGTGCTCTGCTGCAACCCGAGCTTGGTAACGAGGAAACTCTCTCATACATCACATATTTAAGGTCCTCTGTCCTTGATCTACTCTACCAATTTATTAGTTTGCAGTTTACATTCAGTATTTGTCATTTTATTTGTTCTGTCCAAATTGACTCCATATCAACAAACGGCTTTGTTTTTTCCCAGTTGGTTCGTTGCTTTAACGACGCTGGGTTCAACTGCGGCATATGGAGCTCAACACATTAGAACTGGATCTAAGTTGAAATATCGCCTCTAGGATTGTAGAGAGGTTCTGTTGTTGTAGAGAAAGCAGAGCTGTATTTAGTGTTGAGTCTTTGCCCTCTTTTTTTCTTATCAGATACCGCATCAGTCAAGGTAGATTTGATGTATACTTTATTTTGAATTAGATTAAACTTATGGTTAGTTTCTTGACGAAAATGCTTTAGCTGCATTTTGACATAATTACATGTCAAAGTTCACAGAATGGATAACATATCCTGTCTTTTTTCATTCATTGAATTAATATACCATAGTCTCAAATTAATCAAATTAAGACTTAATAATATGCCAATTCTGCCTCAGATGAAGAGCGTGATACCCCAAGTCTACCTACCTCAGATTAAGCGAAAGTGAAGGTCTAACGACATGAAGTTCATGCAAAAAAAAAAAAAAAAAACAAAAACACAAGCGCAAAGGCCAAAAACCATAAAACTTATGCAAGCGCCCACTGCGAGGTGCCAAACAACATTACTTCTATTCTAACAAATGATGGATTCGTATAATCACAGAATGTTTTAGAAGTACATAACACGATTCAGTGACATGATTGAAGAGCACATAACAGAGAGCATAACCCATCTCTCCAAAGACAGCACCTGAACCTAGTGTCTCAGTTCTGCATCCCAAATACTTCCATGTATCATTTCATATTATGAGTGGAAGCGCGATGTACCATTCCATTCAGACGATCTAAAACTTGCTCATCAATCATAAAACATTAAAACAAGTGACCTCAAAACTCTTATGTGTCTGAACTAGAATTCAGTATGAAAAAAGAAACAAACAAAAACCTAATTAGATTGGACCCAAGTAATGCCAAAAGCAGAATGGCGCAGAACATAGAAGCATGCCAATGGCCATCCTGGTCTACTTAGCCAAGGTGGCCATCCTGCTCTACTTAGCCAAGCCATCTTCAATCTCAGTCCACCTATCCGAATTTGTAGGGAACTTCTCTTTTAGTTCACCAATAACCTCCTTTGCCTCATCAACCATGGAGATCCTAGCGAGCCCCTCCACGAGGGACTTCATGGTGCTGAAATTTGGAACCCAATTCTTCGCTATGCAATCTTTAAAAATCTTCAATGCAGCCTCAAAGTCCTTCCCTTGACACAAAAAATAAATTAGTGTGAAGTAACATTGCGAATCCGGGTCAACTCCATTTTTCACCATCCTCTCAAACAAACTTTTGGCCTCCTCCAAATTGTCCTCCTTACAAAACCCAAGAATCAAATTTCCATAAGTGATAACATTTGGTTTCATTCCTCTGGACACCATTCCTTCAAACAAAGCCTTCGCTTCCTTGGACCTTTTGAGCTTACACAAGCTCTGTATCCTGATATTGTAAGTACTAACACCGAGAGTGATATTATGCTCTTCCATCTTCTCCAGAACTTTCCCGACACCCTCAAAATCCTGTTCCTCGTAAAAGCCCGCAATCATTGGCCTGAAAGTCACGGCATTTGGCTTCACATTCTTCTTTTCCATCTCATTTAATATCGAAAATGAAGCCTTCGAATCACCTGACTCGCATAACCCCTTAATCACTCGATTGTAAGTTTCCAAATCCGGAACAATCCCGTAAATGTTTGGGAATTCCAGGTATACCCGTTTCATTTCCTTATAATCCTTAGCTACAATGCAAGAAAGTATCAAAGAATTGAGCGTTTTTACCGTTCTTTCCAAGCCTATCCCGTGCATTTTCTCGAACGTCTTAACTGCATCACCGAGCAATCCAGCCTTGCCGTACAGGATAATAAAGTGAGAAGCCGATCTCTCGGACTTGATATCGGGTCGGGTAATGGACTCTTCAATCAAGCCTCGTATCCCGCTGAAGTAATTGAGGTCCTTCAGCTTGGAAATCGCACTTGAGTAGGCGACACGGTCCATATGGGATTCCGGCGTCAATGAGGCGGCGCGGCAAATCTCGAGGATGCGCTCCGGGTTTTTCTCGGAGCGGAGGAGACTGATGGCGGCCCGAGATTTTTCTTTGCTAGTGAGAGGGGTTTTGGAGTCGGGGTTAAGGATTGATGATGACGTTGAGAGAGAGCGCTGAATTTGGGAAACTGAGATCGATCGGAGCTTCAACCGCAGAGCCATTTTTTCCGATTTGGGTTGAGAGAGGCTTCTACTTTCTAGGGTTTTAGAGTGTCGAAAATTGAAATCGGAAGTTTTTGGTTCAGGGTTTTATGATGATGTCATGAAGTGGGAGAGAGTAACTCTATTTTCTTTTTCTTTTTTTTTTTAAAAAAAAAAACAATCTTTTTTACCGAGATTTTCATGAATGGGAAAATGTATCTTTTCATCCCAAAGTTTGGGCTACACCATCCAAAACATCCCAAAGTTTAAGAACATGCCATTTAAATTCCAAACTTTTTAAAAATATGTTACATTAGGATATTCGTTAAATTTTTAACTCCAGTTAATTAATTAGTGGTGGTACTTTATTCTGTTTCTCCTCCCTCAATTCTTTTAATCATTTAACACGTTCCACTAACTCCCACCTTATAAGAAAATAGCTAAACCTAATTTGGTCTTCACATCATCCATTCTTCCCTTGCTTAGAAAAAGAAAGAAAAAAAATCCAAGATTCACCTTCTAAATTGATAACAATCATGAGAGGTTGTGTGTGTCCTAATTAGAAAGTAAGCCTTATTTCATTTAATTTTTTAAATATATAGCATCATTATAAAAATTGGTGTTGTAATTGATGCAGGGGCATGCAACGTTTTTGCTTGGTATGGACCAAATTTACCAAACGCAAGCATGAAACTTTTTTGACTAAAAAAAAATGGGGGAAAAGAACTGAATGAAATATCGCCGTTAATAACTTGAAAAAATTAACAAATGTCCTAATATTACATATTTTTGAAAAGTTTGGGATGTAAATGGCATGTTCTTAAACTTTGGGATGTTTTGGATGGTGTGGCCCAAACTTTGGAATGAAAAGGCCCATTCTCCCTTTCATGAATTACTCCAAAGTTCTAAACTAGATAATTATTTTGGAACCAAAAGAAATACTCCATCTGTCTTAAAAAAAATAGTTCTCATTGAATTTTGAAATTTGTACAAATTTAATACAAACTTAAAAATTTAATGTGAATTATCTTTTGGGACAAAAGTATATTAATTATGACATTATCATTTCTCACCATCCCATTAAAAGAAAATAATCATACGTGATTCGGTTAATATAGTTGTGAACAACCTTTAAGTGACAGACTTAAAGTTTGGCGCTGACATTGCAAATCAAGAATACACTAACCTCATAATTTAGGTACTCCAATTGGTCCTTAATATAAAACAAAAATAATTATTTTCTAATAATTAATGAAAATATTCAAGTTAGGTATTTAATACTATCTCCGTTCCAAAAAAATAGTCCACATTGAGTTTTTAAATTTGTACTAATAATAGTACAAAACTCAAAACTCAATATGTACTATTTTTGTGGGACGGATGAAGTATTAAATTACTTATAGTGTCGATGTTAAAAATGTCCTCACACTATCTAATAAATATATATATATATATAAGATACTAATCACATTAAACTTTATTCAAGTTAGATGTACACAATATGCGAAACCTTAAGGACATAAAATGCTTTATAAATAACACAAGAAAGAACCTTATAAAACTATTTGTAATAAGAACCGGAGGGGTGGTACAGTATTAGCATAACATGATAGTTCAAGTGGATGTTATCCCTTCAAGCCACTTAGTGTAATTTGTTACACTGTTTTTATTTAACTAAGTAAATTAACTTTTTTAGATAGGAGTACATAAATTGATGAAACTACTCTAATTTTAACTCAGGAGTTAAAGAACTACACAAGTATATATATATATATATATATATATATATATATATGTTTAATGCTTATTTATTATTCTTTTTGTTCTAAACTAATTATCTAATTTAAAATATTATTTTGAATGCAAGTTATAGTAAGAATCCAGACTGGACAATTATTTTGGATTATTAAATTAGTCCTCTATACAGATTGAATCAATCATTTTAGTTCTTACATTTCTAACTCAAGTACTCAACCATAAATGATAAATGAGAGAATTAGTTATGTTTGAACAGTTACGCCAATGATCTGGGGATTTTTTTTAAAAAAAAAAAAATTAATTATGGTATTAGTATATCACGTGTGTGCCAAACACGGTACACAGTCTATGGTGTAACAGTACGTTGATATAGTTTCTCCTTTTAATTCGTCTAGCTAACCTCTCTAACAGAGCTAATTTAGAAATGGAAATTACTATTTTGTCAACTTATATAAATTTAAGAAAAAATAGAAACAAATACACGCCAGAAAATGGGAAAAGGAAGTTTGTCTGTGTGACCTGATTCATTTGGACGAATAAAACGGGCCTCCATGTCATTAGATGCCTGAAAGTTAGTTACTCCCACGACCTCATTTTTTTTTCAGCTTCCTGAAAACTCAAATCTTCCTTCCGCAACCCCCTTTTTCCTTTTGTAATTTTTTTTTTCTAATTCTTGGTGTAATATAAATTAAATGAAGAAGAACAAGATGAAGATGTTGGACATTGATCCTTATTATTTCCGAAACAGCTGACAAAAGGTTTGTTCAGGCAGGGGCTGAAAAGAAAAAAAAAAAACTGCGAAGAAAACAAAAGGAAAAAAGGGGGTGGATTGTGAAGGGAGATGAGAATTTTAGCCTGTTGCAGAATGCAGCGAAGCAGTACAATGAAGAAATCGCCATTGAAAACCTCCAAGAGTTCCATTAAGGATATTAGGACATCTACCAAATATGATCATCATGATAAGGAGGCCATGGGCCCCATCATCAGAAGTGTTTCTATGTACACAGGTTACATATCTTAATTCACACCATCATTGTTTTTAATCAATTTTATATGTTTTTGTTTTTTTTCTCCTTTGTTACCTTGATTGTGAGTTACCTGGTTTTCCTGTCCCATTGTTTGTGGCTTGGAAATCCATGTTTTTGTTGAGTTTTCTTGATGAAATATGCCCTGCATTGGATCTACTGATTAGTGCTTGGTTGTTATACAAACTAATGTTAGAATGGAATCTCTGTCAATTATGATGTTGATATAAACTTGCTAATTATTACTGCAAACAGCTCTTTTCTGCCATGAAAAGTTGCCAGGAGCCCGTTGTAAGAAACTGGCTAAATTGATTGTTTTGGACCTTTTGGTTAGTTATATGAAGTTTATCATGTTATTTGTTTCTCTAAGTATGTTGTTAACTTAGGCCCTAGCAAACAAAGGATGGTAGCTGAGGATATAATTCGATACGGAAATCCAAAAGTTGCTGCAGAAGTATTCACATTTCGCGAATTGGCCCATGCAACAGAGAATTTCAACTCAGAACTTCTAATTGGAGAAGGAGGATTTGGAAGGGTCTACATGGGAAGACTTAAGAAAACAAATCAAGTCTCTTTCTGTCACTTTCTTGCCTTATTCTTAGTTTTGCACATCCAAATTACATTATTTGTGTAACATGTGTGATTTGCTTCTTCCAGATTGTAGCCGTGAAGCAACTTGACAGAAATGGACTTCAAGGGAATAGGGAATTTCTTGCAGAAGTATTGACACTAAGCCTTGTTAACCATCCAAACCTTGTAAATCTTATAGGATATTGTGCTGATGGGCGCCAACGAATTTTGGTGTACGAATTTATGCACAACGGATCATTAGAAGATCATCTCTTTGGTATACGCCTTTTTGTACCTTTACATTTTGAGAAAAACGTATGAGACATGTGGAAACGCACCTCATCTTGGCTTCATTGTTCTGATGCATTTTATGATTATGTATATCTTATGCTGTAACGATAACTGTATGTTTTGTCCGTAATGAATGGTTATGACTTGTTTGTTTTCTCAGATATATGCCCAGAGAAGAAGCCTCTAGATTGGTATACTCGGATGCAGATAGCCAAAGGTGCAGCTCAAGGGCTTGAGTACTTGCACGACACAGCCAATCCGCAGATCATCTATCGTGATTTAAAAGCATCTAACATCTTATTAGATGAAGAATTTAATCCTAAGCTCTCTGACTTTGGACTTGCTAAGTTAGGTCCAACAGGGGATAAGGATCATGTGTCGACAAGGGTCATGGGGACCTATGGCTACTGTGCTCCTGAGTATGCAATGACAGGCCAGCTGACTACTAAATCTGATGTATACAGTTTTGGAGTTGTTTTTCTGGAGATCATTTCTGGAAGAAGAGCTATTGATAATACAAGACCTACCGAAGAACAGAACCTGATTTCGTGGGTAAGTTTCTGATGTTGTAGGAGTTCTTTCCTGTTTATGCCAAGTGCAAAACAGGTTTTCGCCTCAGCTCTCTTTCATGTTTCTTGTTTCATGATGATTTTTCAGGCAAAACCGCTTTTCAAAGATAAAACACTTTTTACAACAATAGCTGATCCGCTGCTTGAAGGGAAGTACCCAATGAAGGCTCTTTATCAAGCAGTTGCTGTTGCAGCAATGTGCCTCCAAGATGAAGCCAACACAAGACCTTTGATTGGTGATGTAGTTACTGCCCTTGAATATTTAGCCGAGCGGCCGGATGATGGAAACTCCAGCGAAGATGAAGCAGTCATAGATTTTCAATTAGAGAAGTAGACAAAATAATTGAACATTTTTTTGACCTCATTCAACATAGGGGCTGAAAACATAATTTACCCAAATCAAAGAGGAAGGGAGAAAAAGGCAGGAGAAAAGTGGTGAAAGTTTTGGCGATTTTATCTACAGAAATAATAGGTGTTAAGATGGTTCTTGTCATGAAGTCTGTAGGTGATGAACTGAGTAGCTTAACTCTCCTCTGCATCAATGGTTTAGAATCCTTGTTGTTGCACATAAATTTTTGTCTTAGAAACATTGTACAAGACATTACAAATTGAATTGAAACTTTGGCTTTTGTTTTTATCAGTTACACAAACTTGCATAGACTAGATTATTCTAGTTGATGATTCCAAATATAATATTAGGATGTGATCATGACCTTGTCTGTAGAGGAAAAAAAAAAAACCCCCAAGAAACCAGATGAATTCCTGCTACATGATCAATGTTCTAAACCAGAGATGCATTTCTCTCACAAAGTCCAGGACATCTAATTAATTTGCTGCTTTAAGTTCAGCTTGGAAAAGTTTAAAATAAGTAAAAAAGATTACTAAGGTCTTAAATGCTTTCGAGAGATTCATATCAGGAAACAGAAAACTGAAAGCCTCAAAATCATAAAACTGAGTTGAGAATCATCAATTCCTGAAGAAATTTATGTACTGAACAGTTTTATAGCATCTTCATGAAGTAACTCATCATGTTTTACAGGAAATGAAGATGATCACCAAAGTAATTTGGATGGTAAATCAGGAAGAATGGAACAACTGGACAATTATTCCTCACCAAACGGGAAGCCTATTGGAAAAACTGCTCTCAAGAGATTCACCTGCGCTGCTAAAAGACTAATATACATATTGCATCAATAATTATAGCTCCATGCACATTATCTCAAGTTGATCAAACTTCCTCCATATCAGCTCTAAGATTTTTGTAACCAAAACTCGGCGCATCATTCCAGCGACGGCTGTTTACTACTTCTACCATCGAGCAGATCCCCGGACGAACAATGCCACTACTAGTACTGGCAGCATTAACATTGATCCCTCTTCTTTTCTTCCTCTTCCATGGCAAGAACCTAAAACTAGTCCAGGACTTGCTTGCATTGGAAGCCATTTCCGGAACATGTCGATGCTGATGATGAGATTGATGAGCACAAGTTCCACAGCAATCCAGTTGGAGTCTCCTGAAATACTCAATCTCCTTCTTGAGAAGTGATCCTACGGTACCCCTTGTGCCAACCTCAAGTGGAGCAGTTCTTGCTGCCATTTTTTTTTTTTTTTTTTTTCCTGGTGAGTGGTTTTTAGGCCTTATTTTCTAGGAGATGGAGGTTTACTTTGAGGTTAGAACATCTACATTTGGGTTGTTTTTTTGTTGTTTTCTTTCTGTAAATAAATTATTAAGGCATGCTTTATTCAAAGTGGACAGCATGAGAGGTCTCCATAATTATTTGTGAATGGAAAAAGTTGAAATGTAGTAATGATTTATGTTTGTAATGAAAGCATCCATCCATACGCAAAAAATTATGACTTTTCTTTCCTTTTGACTCTTTTTTTTTTTTAGATTATGCAAAATGCTTGGCTTGCATATGTTTAATTAACACTAGTTTATTGTGAATTATGATACTACTAATTGATCATCCTGTCTAGCTATCAACTAGATTTCTTTTTTCTTTTCCTTTTTCTTTTCATGAAACTTCCCAGATGGCTGGTGGTCTATCGAATTGACCAAAAATCATATATACCTGACGTTCTAGGAAAATAGTCCACAGACAAATATCGCCTATTTTTTAAAAAATAGAGAAACATCATATGCATGAACGAAAAACTTTCATCTTAGTTTGTGACAGCTAGCTCTCACCAAAGTTATTGAAAAACGAAGAATTTTCAATGCCTGGAATCAATTTAAGCCATGATGTGCGGTGATGAAACTGGCTAAAATGAACCCCACATTCGGAGTGTTTGATCACTTGAAGAATGAGTATTATTCATCTTACTATCTATCAAAAAAATAAAATGAAATCTTACTATCTAATCTTACTTGTCTCATTGTGCCATACCGAACCTTACCATCTACATGGAGGGCATTAATACTCTTCTGTCCAAAAAAAAAAAAACACACACACACACACACATTAAGTTTTGAAATTTGTACTAAAAGCAGTACAAATTTAAAAACTAAATATGAATTTCTTTTCGAGGGAGAGAGGAGTATAATATTTTACATTTTTTTGTGTTTTTATTTACTGGTTAGTCGGTTATCTCTTAACCATAACTTGGTCAGTTTAATAGTGATTTTGCAGTGCACCTCATTAGAAATATCAGTTGAGTTTCGAAATAATAGGCTTAAATGTATTCAGTTTATTTGTTTTACCAAACAAGATAAAAATGAAAATTATTTCTTTTTCTTCTTATTAATAATTTTCCTGTTTTGGATGGAAACTTTTTTTTTCCTTCCCTTTTTCTTTTTTTCTGACGTACCATGAAATTAATTTAATCAAATGGATGGTTTGAGCCCTTTCAAACAGGTTTGTTAATGTGATTGAATGGGCCAAAATACATCCAATAAAATATAAAATCTTGAGTCCATACTACATGACTTTCTAGGCTTGAATTTGGGCTAGGCCCATATGTTAATCAAAGAAATTTACAGCTTTGGGTCACAATAAGAGTTCAGGTTTAAAAAAATTTTAAAAAATAAAAATAAAAATAAAAGGAGGGGGGTGTTAAGATGCGTATTTTCGGGAATGCACATGCTTTAGGATTTTCTTTAAGGTTAAATTACAACTTAAAAGACAATTTTGTCATAGTGTCTGCTAAATGCTGGAGAATGCAGATCTATATTCTATAGCACGGTTTGTCTGATATGCATTCTTTAGTATTCCCTCAGTCTCAAAATTATTATCCTGTTTGAGATCTCACTTTTAGAATAATTTGAACTAGAAATGAAAATCCAAACTGGACAATAATTATGGGACGGAGGGAGTATTTTATTTAGTACATTTACGTTTTTTTTTTCCCCTAAAACTTCGTTCAATGGTCAGTTATGTCCGTCCAAAAAATTATTCAACCTTTTTAAACTTATAAACAATACACCAAACTTGTATGCTAAATTTTTCATTTTGGGTATGCCGATATTGTATAATGTACAAAAGAACAATGGTGATTCTTAGAGGCCGTATTACATAATTTAAAACGGTAAAAATTTGACATGAGACTGTACTACCATATTTATATTCCCTTCATTAAATCTGTGAACTTACATACTTTAGAATATATTTGAAAGCATACTTGTGATGTAATTCACTCATTCAAACTAAAAGAATCTAAATCTTGGGTTGTAAGTGAAACAATGGGCGAAATTAATGGTTAATAGCCTAATCCTATAAAGTAACATAACAAGCTAATAAAGTTTAAATTAGCTAGCAAAGCACTAACCGTGCATTACTTTAACTTATCCTCTACAACTAGAGCTAATGCTTGTGATGATTACTCACTTGTACTGTATGCTGTTGGATACATTTTCCAGGGAGTACGATTCTTCTACAAAGGGTAGAAAAATGTGCGCAGTTTCTGATGTAATAGTGAACACAGATTCCTTAAAATCTGCTAAACAGCCGCCCTTGTTACTTGGTTGGCCAGTAGAATCAAACCAGCAGTCAAAAAAGTTGAAGTACAAGGTTCACAGATGTCATTAAGTCATACAGTACATTAAACAGGAAGGATCATCCGACAAGAAGAAGCAAAAAATTCAATAATCGTTGGTTCCACTAATTACGCCATTAAGTTTTTATCAGATTTGGATCATCGACCAGAAAACAGAACACATGGCATTATAACTATCCAGAAAAAAAAAATAAAAAAATTCTAGCTTACTTTCCTTTTTTTTTACTTTTGTTACTGCGAAATTCAAATGCCGTACTTTTCCTTTGTTAATTGTTGTTCAGTTTAGATTTTGATTTTAAATACAAAATGTACTAAAACTGAATATTCAAATTGGACTATTATTTTGAGATGGATATCAACCTCAATTTTACTCCAGAAATTCTTATATAAGGAGACCATAACTCATTAAAAAGTAGTGAAGCAATCATGGCAAACACAACTAACCAACCTTTGTTAGGAACTCCCAGGAAAAGATCCACTCCTTTCAAATTTCTGTATGTAATTCTTACCTTAGCAACCATCTTAGTTGCAATTTCTCTCATTTCTGCCACCACAATCAACAAGAGGCGAAATCGAAATGCAGTTTCATCGAAAACCCATCTCTGCGATCAGGCATATGATCAGTCTTCTTGTTTGGCAATGTTGTCTGAAATATCGAAATTTCCATCTACTAGGCTGTTTCAGTCCAGCAATCTAGCCGTACTTCAGATGGTTCTAGCAAAATCATCGTCCCAGATTGGAGAAACCATGGAGTTTACCAGCCATGTTAGAAGTCGGATGAACGACAAAACAGGGGACTCTGGTTTAACAGACTGCTTGGAGTTAATGGATTTATCCATGGATAGAATTAAAGACTCCATGGCAGCTCTTGGAAGAAGAAACAGTTATTATTTCAGTAACTCAGATGTTCATTCATGGTTAGCTAGTGTTCTCACTAACCATGTAACTTGTCTTGACGGGCTGAACAGGGCAACCCGATTGGTAATGGAGCCAAGGATGAATGAACTGAGATCAACTGCAAGAACTTCATTAGCTTTGTTTGTTGCAATTTCACAACCAAAAGAACACATTATGGTACAGCGTTTTCCATCGTGGATTAGTAGTAAAGAAAGGAAGCTTTTGCAAGGTTCGGGTCAGGATATTAATGCCGATTTGGTGGTGGCAAAAGATGGTAGTGGGAATTACACAACTGTACAAGCAGCAGTTGATGCAGCTCCCAAGAATTCCCAGACTCGTTATGTGATTTATGTGAAGCAAGGAACTTATTCAGAACAAGTAAACATTGCCAAAAACCAGAAGAATTTGATGTTGGTTGGTGATGGAATGAATTCAACTATTATTACAGGAAGTTTGAATGTAGTTGATGGATCAACAACCTTCAGATCAGCAACTGTTGGTAAGTTTGATCATCCATTAATGAATCGATTTTTATGTGCTTAAAAAGTGTAACTTTTTTTTTGGTATTTCAGCTGCTGTTGGGGATGGATTCATAGCACAAGATTTATGTTTCCAGAACACCGCCGGACCGGAGAAACATCAGGCCGTCGCACTTCGGGTCGGAGCCGACAAATCCGTGATAAATCGGTGCAAAATCGATGCTTTCCAAGACACCCTTTACGCCCACAGCCTCCGCCAATTCTACAGAGATTGCTACGTCACCGGCACCGTGGATTTCATCTTTGGAGACGCTGCCGTGGTATTGCAAAACTGCCAGCTCGTGGCCCGATTGCCCATGAGCAACCAGCAGAACATGGTGACGGCCCAAGGAAGAACCGACCCGAATTCAAACACGGGAACATCTATCCAAAACTGTAACATAACAGCGAGCTCGGACCTGGAACCAGTGATTGGATCAATCAAGACGTTTTTGGGCCGGCCATGGAAAGAGTACTCGAGGACTGTTGTGATGGAATCCAGCATCGGTGATGTGATTGATCCAGCAGGGTGGGCACCTTGGAATGGTGATTTAGGGTTGTCAACTTTGTATTATGGTGAGTATATGAACACTGGGCCTGGAGCTGGAACAAGCCAGAGAGTGAATTGGACTGGTTATCATATCATTACTAGTCCAGAAGAGGCAAGTCAATTCACTGTGGCTCAGTTTATTCAAGGCAACCAATGGCTGCAAAATACAGGTGTCACTTACAATGAAGGGCTCTGAATTTATAGTTCAGTACTTCATTCATTGTCCCTTCCATCCAGACAGCCAGTTCTCAAATGTAGTTTTGCTGCTGTGTGTATTTTGTATGTACTACTGATGTTTCATTTCCAAGTTCCAGAGTTACATACTTTTGAGGTCCATAAATAAAATAATACTCTTAAAAATACAATAAAAGAAACAGTATAGTTGGTTACGGAAACAATCATACAGCGGTGGTAAAGATCTCGTCTAAATTCTTGAGGCATGTGGTTGGTTAAGCAATTCTATAGAGAGTTAGACACTTGTGTCACAAAACGAAAATTCTATGTATACATATCTATAGTACTTAATTAAAGCAAGAAACAAAAAGGACATGTATGAGCACTACAATGAAAAATTTATCGCTAAAAATAATTTTTAGTACAAAATCATTTATGATACGTGTCACTCTAAATAATCAGAAAAAAAGAATGGAATAGATAAATACATAAATTCCTTAATTATAGCTACATAAAAATCTGTTAATTATATGTATGTACTAATCCCTTAAACAACAATATACAATATTTAATAGATAAAATCAAATGTAAGGAAATCCCCTTAAATCAAATGAAACACCAGTAATGTCTCTCCAATCTCCAATTTCGAAGGATCTCTTTTATTCCATTCCTCTCTCACATTCGGGCCTTTAAATTAATTACTTAAAATCTGACATCAATTATCAATCTATCTCTTTCTACAACAGAGAAAAAAATTAACTGTCATAAAAGAAATTTGATTTTTTAAGAATGATTTGTTTTGTTAATTCTTTTGTTGTAGATATCGGTTTATGATTTATGTAAATTCGGGCATAAGTTAACTGTTGTAAATTAAATGTTGTAAATTTGGGCATAGATTTATGTGTAGTAACTCACTTCCTGTCCTTTCAATCGATTTTTTTATTTTTATTTTTTTATTCTTTTAAGAATGATTCGTATTTTTTATTTAATCGATTTAAAAATACAGGCGGCACTCCGAACATTCGCTCGAGGCAAGCATCTAGTATAAGCTTAAAAGCCAAGTTTGCGAGTGAATCCACACAACAAAAGTTGTTCGCTTGAAAGATATGCACAACTGTAATCAAAATAAATTTATCAATCAACTCTAATTACAACAAACTCAAATCCCATCCCTTCATGTGGCTTGGAAGTTGGAAAGTGTAAAATCCTCATGAGTCATGACCAAAAATATGCATGTTGCTCCTAAAATGGGTGAAGAAAACTTTTACAGTCACTTATTCGTGTGGGGGTTGACCGTCCGGGGAAGGTGACACTGACGCCATCTTGTTATTATAAGGCAATTTCTACGGGGCTCTTCGCAGTCACTTGTTGGACTGGACTCACACTCACAAGATCCCACATCTCTTTATCTACATTAACAAATCAATTTCGAATTTTCAATCATATATTAGCATGTAACAACCGACTTTATCTACATTAAAATAAACACTTTTTTTTTAATATCGATGACATTAAGTGGCCAATATTAACAATACACAAAAAGTCAAGGATCAAGAGAATCTGTACGTGTACATCTATATTTATTTTACTATAGCGTTAGCTTCTCATCTTGGGTCACTCAATTATTATCAATCACACTTTTTTTTTTTTTTTGAGTTTTTCCACCTTCAACATCTCATACACTATATTTAGTCAAAATCTTGGGCACTTTTATTTCCCCCCCTTCAAACTGCAATTTCACATCTATAAAAGTATAAGAAGGATCTAAAAAATCTGCTCCTTGAAAAAGGAGGGGGCTGAGATAGATTTGAGGGAGATGGGCTGTTTGAGGAGCAGTTCCCATTTCCTTTCATTTCTCTGTTCATCTCATCTCCTTCTCTTCCTCGTCTTCTTCTTCCTCTGTTTCATCAGTCAAAATCAAATCTTTTGTTTCTCCATTATTACTCTTTCAAACCAAACCCACCAACCGGTAATTAATTACTTTGTATTTGTGGTTGTTTTTTTTATCAAAAAGCGGTGATCTTTCATTAAGATAAGTATAACCCATTTGCTCCATTTGTGTAAAATGTAAGCAGAATAGCAGTTTATGCGGCATAGAAGAAAGTTTGGCCAGAGCTCGGGATGCTATTAACAAGGCAGCAAGAAGTGGTGATTTTTCTGAAGGCAACCAGGATGACGAGAGGTTCATTCCCAGAGGTCCAATTTACAGAAATCCTCAAGCCTTTTACCAGTTAAGTAATTCAACTTATAAAATTTTGTAATTTGATTAATTGAATAGTTCGGCATCATCGGAGCAAGATTAATATGCCATTTTCTTCCTAAATTTTCATCCTTATCTTTAAGCATACAGTATCTTTTGAAATGATCTTGCAGTTATCTCTCCTAATCCACTTACAAGATGTGTTTTTTTTATTTAAAAAAAAAGTTGAATTCCCTAAGAATAAGGTAGTTTTATTTTCTTATTATCAATTCTCAAGAAAGTACAACTTTTGGGGGTGAATTTGGCAAATTAGAGAAACATAAAGGGGTCACCTGCACTGAATAAAAAGCCTTCACCATTATTTGAATTTTTTTTTTTAATTTTTTATTTTCCAACAAAATAGTTGATAAGAGGACTTAATGTTATTAATGATAATAAATGTAGGAGCTATATTGAAATGGAGAAAAGGTTCAAAATATGGGTGTACAAAGAAGGGGATCAGTCACCATTGTTTCATCAATCAGCTGTGAACCTTGCATATGCCATTGAGGGCCAATTCATTGATGAATTGGAGAATGGAAACCGCAAATTTTTAGCTAAACATCCAGATGAAGCTGTCACGTTCTTCCTTCCAATTGGTGTTACTTACACCATAATGTTCCTCAACAAGCCCGGAAACTATGATCACAATCTCATCCCCACTGTTCTCATGGATTATATAAATGTGGTTTCAAATAAATATGAGTATTGGAACAGAAGCAATGGGTTTGATCATTTCTTTGTTGGTTGCCATGATTGGGTAAGATTTCACCATCAATTTTTTTTGTATCTATGTTAAGTTACTATATTGTCCTGTGAATCTCTCTGTTTTGAATGTGATTATTTATTGAACTGTAGTCGCCGGATGTATCAGCAGACAAATCCAAATTGTTCAAGAACTTGATCAGAGTGATTTGCAATGCTAATACTACAGAAGGGTTCAATCCAGCTAGAGATGCCACCTTACCGGAAATCAAAATCCCAAGAAAAAAGCTAGGGCCACCTCTGTTAAGCCAAGATGATGATCCAAACAATCGAACCATCCTTGCTTTCTTTGCTGGTGGAGCTCATGGTTACGTGAGAAACAGGCTACATCAATATTGGAAAGACAAAGACGACGATATTCGAGTCTACCAATACCTCCCAAAATCCATAAACTACATGGAAATGATGAGGCAATCGAAGTTTTGCTTATGTGCTAGCGGTTATGAAGTCGCAACTCCTAGGGTTACAGAATCGATCTACGCGGGTTGTGTGCCGGTGTTGATTTCTGATGGATTTGTGCCACCTTACAGTGATGTCCTTGATTGGAGCCAATTCTCGGTGCAAATTCCGGTTGCTAGGATACCAGAAATCAAGTCTATATTGGGAGGGATATCAATGGAGGAGTACTTAAGATTGCAGAAGAATGTGTTTCAAGTCCAACGCCATTTCATCCTTCATCGGCCTGCTCAGCCGTTTGATATGTTTCATATGATTCTTCATTCGATTTGGCTTCGGAGATTGAATGTAAGGTTGGCAACAACTTGAAATTTTGACCATATACAAGAGAGATTCAGTGGCGTAAATATTGTACAATTTGAACATACAAGTTATCTAGAAAATTTACTGTTGACTTTTTCCTTAGTCAAGAGGATGTTACTTTTTTCTTTTGTAATTTTGACTTTAATTATTTCATAAAATTTGGCTCCTATTCCATATCAAGAGTCAACGCATGGGTTGATCATTGAAGATGAGCATGAAGTGCAATATGTACATCAGCCAGTTTTGGCTTATGCTGATCATTTCATTGGTGCCGATGGTGCATTTTGGGGAGAGGATAAGCTAGTTGTTGGAACTGGAAGTGCATTTTGGCTTTCATTTGTCATATGGGTATATAAAGTTTTCTTTGTAGATTTTTCACTTCAGGCTGAAGATCTAGCCTGTTTGCTTGGGTTTGGAGGCTGAAATGTCTCAAGGAGTAATAAAATGTCTACTTCATACAGATAATGCCACCGTTGCTTTTCTGGATTCAGAATTCAGATCTCATAAGTCATCACTTTTATTTACAACATTTAGCAGAAAACACTTTAAAAGTTAAAAACAATTTATTACGGTAAATAGAAGTAGATATATTGTAAAAAAAAATGTAAACAGATTAGTTACACAAGTAGTTTGTTAAGGTAGCTTTTTCAATCTTGTCCTTTTCAATTAATACTCTATCTGTTTCGAAATTATTGTCCAATTTGAATTTTCAATTTTAATACAAATGGTACTAAAAGTAAAAATCTAAATTGAACAATAATTTTGAAATAAAAAAGTATGAAATATAAGGGTTATTAAAAAGGGAAGGGGCGGTGGGGGCAACAAGATGCTCGTTCATATTTCATATCAAGAGTCAACGCAAGGGTTGATCATTGAAGATGAGCATAGCCATAAAGTGCAATATGTACATGAACCAGTTTTGGCTTAAAGCTGATTATGTCATTCGTGTCGAAGGGGTATTTTAGGATAATTGAGTTGTTGGAATTGGGTCGACGAGATTTTATAAATCATTAATATGAGACGAAGAAAATTAAAATAAATAGCAATGATCCTTATATCTCATTTTCAACTTTACATGTGTATATGATACGTACGTACCATATGGTTTTATTTGCGTTAATTCATGATCACATACACCAATCTCACAAAAGAAAAAATGTGAATATTATTTGATAGACTAAAATATCCAAATAGTCCCTTACATTTGGGCCTACTTGAATTTACGTCCCTTAGTTTTGCTTTTTATTTTTATTTTTTTAAAAAAAAATAATTGAATTTTGAATTATTTACTGTAACTTGGTTAATTTTTTAAGTTACAGTGGGTCCAAAGTTAAAAGTACAACATAATTACTATTTACTGTGTACTTAAAGTAAATAGTAAATAAAAAATAATTTTGAAAATAATGATAAATTTTAAATTGTACAATAATATTTTTAATTAATAAATAATATTTTAACAATTAAATAATAAAATTTAAATTTTAAAATATTTTTAATGATTTAAATTTTAATAAAGATTTAAATTAAATTAAAAGACAAAAATACCCCTGATTCCGGCATGTCAACGGCCGGAAACAGTGAAATGGGACCAAAAAAGTGTGAAAACATAATGTTTGGGACTACGATATTGAAATGTTAATGTAAGGGACGTAAATTCAAGTAGGCCCAAATGTGAGGGACCATTTAGACATTTTAGTCTTATTTGATATATTCATATGCACTACATATCGACATAGTACAATTAGAGTGGCAAAGGCCAATGAGTATATTTCACCGACCAAAATGTAATGTAGACCTTTTTTTCTATCTGAAAAGTCATGATTATACCGACAAGAGACACGTTTATGTTCTTTTAAGCATATTATGCATAGAATGTAAATTTTTTGATATAAAACCTTGAAATCAAAATACTTTTCGTCCTAAAATTATTGTCCACTTTAAGTTTTCACTTTTAATATAATTTGAACTAGAAATCAAAATGCAAATTGGACAATAATTATGGAACAGAAGGAGTATAAGAAAAGAAAATAATTTTAGAACAAAGTGAATTTATCAATTAGTACCATTATGCTCATTAATCTCCGGTACTCAAAACTTGGTTCTTTTGTAAGAACTGTTTATGCAGTGATAAGCTTTTCTCGTGTTTCTCATTTTTATTTTATTTTTAATTTTTTGGTACATTTCTCGTGTTTCCCATTGTTTCCAAAATGTACCATTTATAGCTTAATGGGCCACAAAATGTACCATTTATAGCTTAATGGGCCAGCGAGCTGTGAATCAATTAAAAGAAAAAATCCATTCATCAATCAGTTAATATCAATATATATACACATTAAGCTAGCACAAGCTTAATGCATTGTTGCTTTTCCCCTTCTTATGTTTCTTTCTATCAAGTATTAAGTTTGAAGTGCATATATATAAAAGCCCACCAAATGCAAATCCTCTATTTTCTTAGTTCTTCCCCAAATTATAGCCAACATCAGATTTCCTGTTGGCCAAAGATTCTAATGGCAGCAGCAGATAACAGTTATAAAGTTGAATATCAAAGTGTCCAAAGACGAACAGCCAATTATAAGCCAAATATCTGGAAACCTGACCGCCTTCAATCTCTCACTACTGATTTCTGGGTAAGCTACTTTCATATATACAATCTGTTAAGCTTATTAATTCGCTCAAAATGGATTCGATATCTGGGTATAAAGTTGCTCTACTGTCAACTTACCCGTGAATAATGTGTGTCCTGATAATGATGTCTTTATATAGAGTATTCCTTCCGTCCTAAAATATTATCCAGTTTGAATTAAACTAAAAGTGAAAATCCAAATCGAACATATATAATTTGAGACGGAAGAAGTACGTGCAAAAGTTATTTTGCAAAGCCTCTTGAACTTAGTTGAAATTGACTTTTTTTACGCTTGGATTTGCAGGAAAAGGAGTGCAATAAAAAGAGAGTCCAAGTGCTGAAAAAGGAGGTTGCGTGCATGTTTTCCGAGGCTAATAATAATCCACTGTTGAAGCTGGAACTTGTTGACCATATATCAAAACTAGGCCTAAACAATTACTTTGAGGAGGAAATTCATTCAGCTCTAAATGGTATCATCATATCTGATGGAAATGAACTTTATTCTACTGCTCTGTGTTTTAGGCTTCTCAGGCATTACGGTCATAATGCATCCGAAGGTACAGACTTCAATTTTTCATCGGAATTTTCCCAATTATATCTCCCAAATTTTATGTACTACCTCTTTCCTGCAAGGATTTTTTTTTTTTTAATCTCAACCTACATGATGGATTTCAGAGATGTTCAGAAGCTTTGTGGATGAAGCCGGAAAGTTCATGACAGGCAAAAACGTGATTACTCTCAAAGCATTGATTGAGCTATTCGAAGCTTCAAACATGGGCAAGGAAGAAGAGAATATTTTGAAGGAAGCTAGATTGTTCACCGTCCAAAGTTTGAGTTCTTTTGGAGGCATTTCACACTGCGATTTGTTCACCAAACAGTTAGTGACTCGTGCAATGAGGCTTCCATGGCAATGGGGAGTGGCGTGGTACAATGTCAAGAAACATATCAATGCATATGAAAAAGGGCACAAACAAAACACTAAATTGATTGAGTTATCAAAGCTTAATTTCAATTTAGTGCAAGCCTTACACCAAGAAGATCTTAAGGATGTATCCAGGTGATCGTGATGTGGGATATACTACTTTTTAGCATAATTGAAGGACTATAGCTAAATCACATTATTCATACCGTTGCGGTTCAATCACAATATTAAATATTGATATGAATGATACATTAATTATATAATATATATAGACTAGTAACTGTGATGGGGCCCCAAATTTAATGAATAAAGATATCAACATGGTGATTTTATGTGTTAATCATTTTTTGTGATTTCCATTTGATCAATATATATATAGGTGGTGGATTAATCTTGGAATCAACAAGAAGTTGAATTTTTCCAGAGATCGAATAGTGGAGAGCTTTCTGTTTGCCGCAGGAGTTGCATCTGGAGCTCAACATGGAAGTCTAAGAAAATGGATGACTAAAGTGATTAAGCTGATTTTGATAATCGATGATGTTTATGACATCTACGGTTCATTGGAGGAACTCGAATGCTTTACCAATGCCGTGGAAATGTTAGTGATTTATATTTAATTTTTTTATTTCCTCTTTATTAATTTTTTATCATGAAAAAGATTGCTCACATAGACCAATTATTAACATGGGATATCTTTTCTGTTTTTAGGTGGAGCCCTGGAGAAGTTAAAGATTTACCTGAATGTATCAAGATATGTTTTTGGGCACTCTTCAATACTACACAAGAAATTGCAGTCGAAATTCAACAAGAAAAAGGGTGGACTTCGGTGTTACCAAATCTGCACAACAAGGTATCTCATCAAATATTTGAATTTACACAAGTTATGTCATACGTACTTATTGTACAACCCGTTACGAAGCCAATCAATTTTATGAATTTGTTTTCTCCAGTGGGCGGATTTCTGTAAAGCATTGCTCCTAGAAGCGAAATGGTACCACCAGGGTTACACGCCTTCACTGGAAGAATATTTAGAGAATGGATGGACATCATCATCTGGCCCTTTGCTAGCTCTGCTTACAATCCTTGGTGTAGAAGATGGAAGAATGAAAAGAGATGTCGCTGAGTTCTCGAAACCTTATTGGGATATTACTTACCATTCCTCACTCATCATTCGTCTTTGCAACGATCAAGGAACATCTGCGGTACATACATGCATATACTAGGATTTAAATTATTTGGTTATTTGCAGTTTAACCAGTGTCAGGGCCATAAATTCCAAATAATAAAGGCAAAATAATATTCCCTCCGTCCCAAAATTATTGTCCAGTTTGAGTTTTCATATTTAGTTCAAATTGTACTAAAAATGAAATCTCAAACTGGACAATAATTTTGCGACAGAGGGAGTATGTTTTTCATATGGAGGGATTATAAGTTGTTGATATTTTAAATTGAAAAAATTAAAACCTTTCTTAAAAAAAGATTTGGGGGAGGGAGGGCGATTGTCCCCACTAGTCATTTTCTGTCTCCGCCACTGAATTTAATTGCTAAATGTATTCAAGTGATTGAATTTCATATGCATGTGTGAATAACTAGGCGGAACTAGAAAGAGGAGATGCAGCTTCATCCATCCTATGTTACATGCGAGAAGCAAATGTTACAGAAGAAGCTGCAAGGGAGCATATCAAAAGCTTGATAATTAGGTCATGGAGAAAGATCAATGGCCATTCTTATAACACCACCGGTTCATTTGTGGAAGATGAGCCAGCCAGATACATTATCAACATTGCAAGAGCTGCCCACTTTATCTACCAAAATGGAGATGGATTTGGTGTTCAAGACGGCGAAACTCGAGACCAAGTACTCCTCAATTTAATTGAACCTCTTCAAATTAATCAACTGGTCGATCAAATTCACTGTTGATTTGGTGGTCACATGCCCTTTGCCTGCATAAATGCCATCTTCTAGGGAATTCCATATGCTTGTACTATATTATACTGCCGTCATTTTGTTCTCAACTCTTGAACGTCTTATTGTACATTTTTTTTTATATATATAATGTGGAAGTTTAACGGCTTAAGTATAAAACATCCCTTTAAACCTGAGATGGACCAACGCTTTCATCCTTCAAAAGATCTAAGATATGAGACGGAGGTATTGACAAAATTTGCCTTCCCTATGCATAGGAAAAGCAGAATTTTGCCAACTCATCCGCTACCACGTCTTATCGTACATTGTTATACACAAAGTCTAAAATTGTGCTGTTTGAAGAACACTCAAATAATTTGTTGGTGTGCTACTTTGCTAAAGATTTGGCGTAAACAAAGACCATTTCACTGTTATTTTCTTGGTAGGACGAATTGGGCCTCTTACATGGTGTAGGCCCATCGGGGCATCTTGAAGCCCACACAACTTCCTCTGTCCATTCAATATTGCACAAAAAGTCCTCTGGTCCAGGCAAATTCAAATACAAGCATAAGATTTCTGAAGATTTCCGCTTTAAAGTATTCCGCCTACTTTATAATCTCTTAGACGGATTTGTTGTCGGAAATGGCTGATTATGATGTTTGATTTTTTTTGGAAATTTTATTTAGCAACTTGCGATTTCTTAATTCCTTCTGTAAAACCAATGCCGTCTCTTCTAGTATCATTTATGTGGCATTTTTTAAATGTTGCCTTTTGGAAAAACGGGGTTCCTTGCAGTGATTAACATCAGCGGATTGGTGTTTGAAACTTTCTTGGCTTTTTCAGTCCCATGTTTTTTTCCTTGCCCAAAAGGTCCTTTGTAGTTTTGTTCGTATTATTCGAGTATATATAGAGGTTTATTAATATTTTTTTGTCATCGTGGTCCTATTGAATTTGTTGTACTATCACATATTCAACGACACAATTACTACGGACTAAATTGAAATGAACAAAAACGAGGATATGATCAATATAACATGTGTATTATAGCAACGTGTCGTTGATAAGCACCTTCGATGGCACAAGTTTGGATGCATATTATTCACGAAATTGACCTCTGAACAGAGATCTCTTCAAGACTTCAAGTCTTCAACCCTTATTAACCTTAGCTCAATTACACAATTCTCATAATTTCTCATTGGTCCAAGTATTGTACTCCATATGTCCCAAAATTATTGTCCAGTTTGAGATTTCACTTTTAATACAATTTGAACTAGAAATAAAAACTTAAACTAAACAATAATTATGGGACGGAGTGATTATATGCTACTTACATTTGCACAAACATTTTCTTTTTTGAACATAATTTCCTTTCAAACCATTTGAGGAAGACGTATTCCGACAAACACCTTTTACCCACTGCACTTGCTTTGAGAAGATGACAGAGTTGTGAGAGTTGTTAATTTCAGGTGTTGCGACTTGTATGGGGAATTAAGTTGCCGACAATGGAGGTCGACAATGAAGATGCATGCAGAACGGATGGCAAATGAAACGGACAATACTGTGATGAAATAAAAGTCTATTTTTAATCAAAGAACTAGTATATAATTTTTCAATTGAATAATTTTGGGCAATTTATCCAATATACCCGGTAACACTATACCCTCCTCCTATTTTTTTGCATTACTAGTCCTTACTACACTTTTTTCAATTTTCTAAATAACATCCTATAATTTGTAGGTTTAGTCCCCGTGACTTTTTTTTCTCCTTTAAAAAATATCTCCAATATTTAAACGATCATATCTCATGATCCGTAAGAATTAGAGAACGTGTTATACATGAAAATTATAGTACTCGTCGAGATTTATCCAACAAGATCCATATCGAATATTTTTTTCTAAATTAAAAATGACTAAATTTTGATGGGCATGAACTAAGAAATTTGTACCTTTATTTGGATGGATATCCAGTTTAAGAAAATAGATAACCAACTTATTTTACATTCATATTGTTGTGTTCCTTATATCTTTTGATCCGTAAAGAATTAGAACACAAATTATATATGAAATTTATAGTGCTCGACGAAATCTATCCAATAAGATCAATGTTGAATATTTTTTTGAACTTTAAATGCACTTAAATCTTACAGGCAGAAATAAAGAAATTGAAAAATGGTTATCCATTGTGTTCATACTGATTATCCAACTGGTTTGGACTGATTATCTATTTTGTTTGTACTGGTTATCCAATCGTATTTTTGACATTCACTCCTCTTCAAAAAAAAAAAAAAAAGAAAGAATAAAAGATTAAAATATTTGGATAAGTATTACAAATAATTTAGATAATCATTGAAAATAATTGGATATGCAGTACAAACTGGTTGCATAATCGGTACAAAAAATTGGACAATCATTTTCATAAAAGAGCAAGGAAAAAAAAAGGTCGGATAACCATTACCAAGAAGTTGGATAATCAGTATGAACATATTGGATATATTTTCTCAAAAGAAGAAAAAAAGAAATAAAATTCTGTTTGGATGATCAGTGAAAATGATTGGATAACTGATGCAAAACGGTTGGATAGTCAGTACAAAAAATTGGACAAGAATTTTTGCAAAGAGTAGAGAAAAAATGGTTGGATAATCTATACCAAACAGTTGGATAATCGATATGAACGCGTTGGACAACCATATTTTTCAAAAAAAATAATAAAAAGAAAAACTAAGTTGGATAAGCAGTACTAATTAATTGGATAATCAGTATTAACACATTGGGCAGTGATTTTCCAAAAAAAAAAAATTGGATAACCAGTACAAATGAAATGGATAATCAGTTCAAACCGGTCGGATAATCAGTATGAACATAACAGATAACCATTTTAAGAGAAAACTAGGTTGGATAAGCAGTACCAATTAGTTAGATAACAGGTACAAACACATCGGACAAGTATTTTTAAAAAAAAAAAAAATCTGGAGAAACAATTGCACGGGACGGGATAATCAGTACGAATACATTAATTGGACAAGCAATTTCTCAAAAGAAAAAAAAAGAATTGGATAAGCAGTAAAAACTTATTTGGACAAACGGTAAAAATAATTAGATAAACAATACAAGACGATTCGATAATCAGTACAAACAAACTGGACAAGTATGTTCATAAAAAGGGGGAGAGAAAAAAATGGATGGATAACCAGTACTAAGTAGTTGGATAAACATTACAATTAGTTGGATAACCAGTACGAACAAATTAATTGGACAAGTATTTTCTCGAGAGAAGAAAAAAAGCAAAAAAAAGATTGGACAAGTAACGCAAACTTATTTAGAACATGCAGTAAAAATGATTTTATGGATAACAAATACAAAGCGATTGGATAATCACTACGAACACATTGGATAACCGTATTTCAAAGGAAAAAAATGATTGGATACACGGCATAAACAAAATGGATAACCAGTATTAGCGTATTGGACAATGATTTTTCCAAACAAAAAAAATGATTGGATAACCAGTACAAATAATTTGGATAGCCATATATATCCGTTAGATAACCAGTACACATAAGTTGGATAGACACACAAACCAAATGGATATCCAGTACAAACAAGTTGGATAAATATCCAGTACAAACAAGTCGGATATGTATACAAACCCGTTGGATTACAACTACAAAACAAGTTGGATAGGCATACAAACCAAATGGATGGATATCCAGTACAAACAAGTTGGATAAATATCCAATACAAACTAAATGGATATCCAGTACAAACAAGTGGGATATCCATTATAAACAAGTTGGACAGGCATACAAAACGAATGGATAAACAGTAAAAACAAAATGGATAACCAGTTCAAACTGGTTGGATAATCAGCATGAACACAATGAACAACCAATTTAAAATAAGTTTGTTATCCATCTTCTTAAATTGTATATTCACCTTATTTCTGTCCATCGGAATTTAATCATTTTTTAGTCCAAAAAAAATATTCCATATGGATCTTGTTGGATAGATCTCGACGAATACAATAAAATTCATGTGTAACACGTTTTCTAATTTTTCACGGATTGACAGATATGCTCGTTTGAAGATTAGAGATGTTTTTTGGAAGAGAGAAAAAAAAAGTAACAGGACTAAATTTGTAAAATATAGGAAGAGTTGAGAAAAAAATACAATAAAGACTACATGTATAAAAAATAAGAGGGGGAGTACATACTCCCGGTATACTGGATACAATCTCATTTTTTGAATTCAAAGAAAATTTATCGCTGATGAAATAAATTTTGTTTTTTGGATATGTATATAATTTATTTGTTTGTTGCATATTTGTATTTTCTGATATATGATCATTAATAATGACCCTATCTAGTGTATTTAATAGTTGTCAATTAGCATCATTTTTATTCTACATTCTTTTACCATTGCCTTGAAATTATTATATTAATTTATTTTTGATTTTTTTTTTTACATTATCGTACAAAGTGGATCTAATTCAACTATTAGTTATAATGTACAAATCCAACTAAAATTTAGTTTAAATTTGTGTTTTATAAATTTGAATTGTTTACTTTACTAAAGCACTTATCGAGCTCAAACATCAAAATTTAGGAAAAAACCCATGATGAAAGTAGTTCCAGTGACTTTTGCATACATTATATACTTGAGTTATTAATCCAAATCGTGATAAAGGTAGTCTAAAATCTTTTACAAAGACTAGCTCAGTTATTATAATCCATACTGGGTGGACTATTACATATAGATGTATGTCGGGATCAATAATTGAAAGTTTCTTACAAATTTAATCAATAGCATTGCCACGTTATTACTTTGTTTTTATCAGAATAATTTATTAAACGTCCAGACACGAGGTTGTATTTATATATTCTGTCAATACGTCACTATGTCGTTTCGGTTAGGTTAACTAATAATTATATTTGTTTTGAAAGAAAATTTTATCTAATAATTTATTTAATTAAATAATTAGCTGGCAGCAAAATAATATCAGCATATCGCCAAACACTCCATCGACTTTGAAGTGTTGCCGTTTTTGATTTACCAACTAAATAAGCAGCTAATCTAAGTTTTATGTTAATAATTCTCATATCAAATAACGCAAGTATAGTATACAAAATCACCTTTATATATATGTCATAGAACAA